AGCAACTCTGGGAGGTCCTCAATTATATAGTATAAGGAAGCTGCGTCATTATTAACTGCTTGTCGAGGCACCAGAGCGAATAAAAAGGAGACAAAAAAATGTATATTCTCTTTGATGCATTGAATCGCTGATTGCGTACCTATGAAGTCAAAAGATTCAAGCGGGAAAAACAAGGCTCTTAAAATTTTTCAAATGAATACGATTCAAAATTAAATCGTTCAATTCACGCGCCGTTGTCGGACGGTAGTCTCGCGTCAAATATATATACGAAAAAAGGAATGTTTTCTATTAAAACATCATTAATCGACCAGCTACACAATGTTTTTTGTCCGTAACGAATTGAGAACGAGAAGGCGTGTTAGATTTTGTACTCCATGTGGTTATTACTGCTTTAATTTCCATTTTTTCTCTTTTTTTCTTCTCTTGAAAAACCGAGCTCGGTAAGTCACCGAGCTCGATAACCGTTTTTACTTTGTCCCCCCGGAAAAGTGAGAGGCCTCGAGCTCGGAATCGACAAATCGAGGACGGTTGACATATCGAGCTCGATAAACTCGTATCGAGCTCGGTTGCCCAGAAAACTAAACTGATCCGGTCGATGGATCGTTCGATCTTTAGATCGTTAGATCGCTAGATCGTTAGATCGCTGGATCGATGGACTGATTGATCGTTAGATCGCTACATCGTTATATCGCAAGATCCATGGATCGCTAGATTGTTAGATCGCTAGATCCTTAGATCGCTAGATCGATGGATGGTTAGATCGCTATATCGTTAGATCGCTAGATCCTGGATCGTTAGGTCGTTGGATCGCTTGATCGATGGATCGTTAGATCGCTAGATCGTTAGATCGCCACCTCGTTAGATCCCTAGATCGATGGATCGTTATATCGCTAGGTCGATGTATCCTTAGATCGTTAGATCGCTGGATCGAAGGACTTATTGATTGTTTTATCGCTAGATCGTTTTATCGCTAGATCGATGGATCGCTAGATTGTAAGAACGCTAGATCGTTATATCGCTAGATCGATGAATTATTAGATCGTTAGATTGCTAGATCGTTAGATCGTTAGATCCCTAGATCGTTAGATCGCCACCTCGTTAGATCCCTAGATCGATGGATCGTTAGATCGCTAGGTCGATGGATCCTTAGATCGTTAGATCGCTGGATCGATGGACTGATTGATCGTTAGATCGCTAGATCGATGGATCGTTAGATTGTTAGACCGCTATATCGTTACATCGCCAGATCGTTGGATCGTTAGATCGCTAGATCGTTAGATCGTTAGATCCCTAGATCCCTAGATCGATCGATCGTTAAATCGCTAGGTCGATGGATCCTTAGATCGTTAGATCGCTGGATCGATGGACTGATTGATCGTTAGATCGTTAGATCGTTAGATCGCTAGATCCCTAGATCGATGGATCGTTAGATCGCTAGGTCGATGGATCTTTAGATCGTTAGATCGCTGGATCGATGGACTGATTGATCGTTAGATCGTTAGATAGTTCGATCGCTATATCGTTACATCGCTAGATCGTTGGATCGTTAGATCGTTAGATCGCTGGATCGATGGACTGATTAATCGTTAGATCGCTAGATCGTTATCTCGCAAGATCCATGGATCGCTAGATTGTTAGATCGCTAGATCCTTAGAGCGTTAGATCGCTAGATCGCTAGATCGCTAGATCGCTAGATCGCTAGATTGATGGATCGTTAGATCGCTATATCGTTAGATCGCTAGATCCTGGATCGTTAGGTCGTTGGATCGCTAGCTCGTTAGATCGCTAGATCGATGGATCGTTAGATCGTTAAATGGTGTATGTTCTCTGTAAAAAAGCCAGTTGTCAGTTTCTGACGTTTAACCCTAAAAGATTATGGGTTTGGTCAAAATGTTGGAAGGCATAAACTGGTAGAAACTCTGATAACGGTTTTGCCACTTGAATAGGACAACCCAAACTGCTTCAAATGTCTAAAAATAATCAAAAATGATCTTTAGTTTTAAGTGGTACCTTTCTTAGTGGTGTGAAATGTTAGGAGATTTTTTAGGACCGAAAAGTCTTTTCCAGTGCGCAAAACGAAGAAAGAGAAAAAATCCAAGGAACCCTGGAACGAGTCTTCCTAAATAGTGAATTCAAGTTCGCGAGAGAAATCCTATCTCAGGTCATGCGGAGCCATCAGCTTTGAGACTCTGTTGAGGAGTATAACTCTTCTAGAGGTTTTGAATTAAGTGCGATAGTAGCGAGGTCTTTTGGAATATATCGAGGGAATACTGGTTTTGGCCATTGGAAAGCACTTCGAGCAAAACCTTGGGAAAGTTTGAAAACCTTAGGGGGACACGCTACTTGCGGGGACGCTTAAAATCTATCACAGCGAGCAATATTACAAGAGACAGTAGAGCAAGAGTAAATCCTCTCGTCTCAGGAAAAGTTGCAAATATCGCGCATGCGTGCTTAGGTATGACGTTGCGTACTTAAGTGGCCACGTATCTGTACAGCCAAACGCGCTACAAAGTTAAGTAAGTGACGTTTGGTCCTCGATTTTAGCTCATATAACTTGAGATTTTGATTTCTTTTTTTTAATAATAAAAAAGGATTTTTGCCCACAAGTCACTGATTTTTAAGTAAGGATTTCTAAATACCCGGAAAGAAAGTTTAGGCCCCGACACTCAAGAATATATATATCGCAGCTAAGATAGACAAGGAGAACTATAAAAAGAAGTCACTAACACGAAGATTTTTCGCCGTTGATAATGTCGAGTTTTGCTGATCAAAGGTTGAAGAAGAGATACTGTAACCTTAGATGTCGTTGTATCACTACGTAGTCAAGAAAATTAATACAACTAAATATTCTAATGTTCAAAAAGGGCAGTCAATAACCAGTTTCAAAACCTACCCCGCCAATAAAAGTATATAGTCAACAAAAAGTGTGATTTGATTAATTAGGAAAGGATATACGCTTAACCTGAAGGCGAAATTTCACCTACTTTTCTTCTTTACAATTCAGTTTGGGAAAGGAAGGAATTCCGCAATCAACAATTTTCACCGTCCTCTCGGTGGTTGCATTTCTTCTCAGGGCCATCTGCAACTTTACTTTCGGGAAGGAGCAAACATTTTGTCCTTTTTCAGGCGCTGGTCTCGGGAATGAATCAGCATTGGATGATCTGAGGAATAAAAGTATAACAATGCCTAACTCCTTACCGTGGTTTAAGTTTCTTAGTACCTGGAGCAAACGATGTAGTTATTTTGATGGAATTTTGAGGATTTCTCAGTCAACGGCTCCACTTACCCTTTGAGTAGTATACTCAACAACGGAAAAATAAAAGAGACAAAGGAATATCCTGACCAATTCATTAGCAGCAGCAAGGTTTTTAAAAGCCTGTAAAATTAATAAAATTTAGCTCAACTTAGAAAGACAAGGGCCACTCAAGAGAGAACTGAATTTCTCTACTCCAAAATTCCTCCGTCCCTTTGAATAATCGAGGCCTTACGAGTTCGAGGAAATAATCTTTTATGTAGGCTAATTTTAAAAGGGAAAGAAATATTCGAAAATTTCAGTACATATCCCCTTTAATCACCAATAGCAATAATTGCCAGCCGGATATTCCTAACAAAGAGGAAGCATTGTCTAAACAATTGTAATAAGCTAAACAAACCATGCAGATGTTCTTATTGGTTCAATCTAATGAGCTGTTAATTGGATCGTTAATTGCTACCTTAATCTTAATCTTGTTTCACAATTGTTACTCTTTGAAATATCATCTAGTTAGCCGTAAAACATCTATGTCCCTTTGGTTTTTTGTAATAAGTGCATTTTTTTCTCTTGGCATAAAAGAGCAAACTGAGGCATTGAAATTAAAGTCAACTAAGTAAGCATTTATGAATAATCGTATTGATATTACAATCAATTTTCAAACTCGTCTAGGTCAACTAAAAAGATGAATTAGTTACTAAAATCTGAGGTCTCATTGACGAATACTATGTTATTTATTTCTACGCTTACTCAATATGAAATGTTAAGGGGGATGATTATCAGAAAAGTTTGTTGTTGATTACCGTTAGAATCGATTATAGCCCAAGTGCGGCCCTGAATATTCCACAAATTTGTTTTAATGGTATCACCGCGGGGAATTTCGTTTTGTTTGGCTGAGTAAACTACAGCACACGACAAGGGTCTACATTGGCTACCTTAATTAATAATGGTAATAGGACTGTGTGGAGTCCAATTCGGTTTGTAATCAGACGAGTGATTAATTAACAAAATCAAACGGGAGTCCGATTTGTTTAATCATGAGTATGATTACAGACTGAATTGGATGACACGAAGTCCTGTTACCAATTAATCATAACAATTACAATTTCCGAGAAAACAAATGCATTCTTTTTTCTGAAGGAGCTTTTAATACCAATTATCCAAAATTAGGGAAAATATCACTGGCAGCCTTTTCTGCAGGCATCCAAAGGCGCTTTACAAGTTATTCAGAATCTTAAAGGTAAAAACTATCTAAAAACTATCGACACTAAGGACCTTCAGTCCAAGAATCTGCTACATAAACCACGTTTTCATTAAGCGGCGTTGAAACTGGCAAGATACGCCGTCGTAAAAGCGGCAAAAGAAAGATTCTTATCTCCTCTTCTCGTTGCCCTCGTTTGTCTTCAGTGGCTTAGGCGAGTGAGAAGTTACCATGCCAGTTGCCTTGGCGACAGCTACAAGGTGATGACCCGCCCCCTTACAAGCCAGGAGGCTGATGCTTCAGTATTTGGCCGGGAGTAGTCTGGTAGGGAGTTCATGTAACCTCTCCTCTCCCTGGTTGCAACCAATGATTTGCTATGCAAAATAGGAATTAAACAGTCTGATTCCTCCACCTTCCGTGGAGAAGCAACGGAAAACCTGGTTCACTTATTTTGGAACTGTAAATACTCTAACGCCTTTTGGAAAGAGCTCTCTTATTTGGCTCAATTAACGATGCAAAAGATTTACCACTGTACCATTTACTAGTTATTGCCAGGCATTATATCTACACCTTTAAACAAAAAGATACGCGCCCAAATGTCCAAATGTACTTACAAACAGTTCAACGTACTGTGGAAACAGAAAGGCAAATTGCAAAAGACCATAATTCTTTAGACACTTTCAAAAACCTCCCCTCTTTAAACGAATGTACTATTCTGTGGAAGTGAACTGCAGGCGGCGCTCTGTAGATACTTAAACTGTCCCGTTTAAGTTGTCTGTCTGTTTTTTGTTTGTTCTCTAATCTTTTTTCAAAGCTATTGTGTGAACTGTAATTTTGCTACTTTTTTTTCTAGTTTTCTACAATTTTTCTAACTTTTCCTTTGTATGTAAATATGAAATAAAGTGTTGTTGTATAAAAAAATAAAAAAAATACATAAATAAATAAAATTAATAAAAAAACCTCCCCTCTCCCTCTGGTAGGTGGAGACTTAATATAGCACAAGGTCTTTCGCCTTCGCAGATGGGAGATTTCCAAGGTTTTTTCCATTAGCCTGTGACCAGGGAGAGGCTCCCAGTGCGAGCGTGGACTGGAAAGAAGGAGAGGGACATCGAAGAGGGGGTACCAATTTTGTGATGACTTTGATGATGATGATAATAATAATAATAATAATAATAATAATAATAATAATAATAATAATAATAACAACAACAACAACAACAACAATGAACTCAAGGTTCGTACCCTGTTTGGAACAAAAAATTCAAGGACTTTTCAAGGACGCATTTCCCACTTTTCAAGGATTCCATTCAATGCTAAAAAAAGCCTTGAGTATGTGTCTTTTTTAGTTCTTCCACAACATGAGCAATTTTATCCCGAAGGTCTTTCTGTGCTTGCTTCTTGTAGATACTTGAGAATTCGGGTTGGACAAAGTTAACGCCAAACTTCAAGGACTTTCCAGCACCGGCTGCAATTTTCAAAGACTTTCAAGGCGCGTGCGAACCCTGTAATTAAAACTGCGCCTGACTCATCGACACCTCTAGGTAAGCGAAGCAAAGTTTTTATTAACACTCAAAAGGATTACGATCAAGATGTAGCATTAACCAACACAACAAACTGTGTTACAGTTGCTAGAATTCAAGGCATCCTATCAGCAGCGGAAAACTTCATTAGATTCAATCTCTCTCTTTTAACGTTCGAGGCGAAGTCTGTTAGGGAGTTGCGGTCCCGAGTTGTGGTACGCATTCTACTTTTCGAATCCCCCATTATACCCTCTCTGTGTTCCCCAAATTTTGCATAAAGGATTGTTTTCAAATTCTCCTGGAAGGACTGTATATTCCCAAGAGCATTTGAAAACAAAAACTTAGGCAAATTTTGGGTGGCAAAAAGAGTGTATAGACTATTTGGGAGTCCGAAAATAGCCACTACAATTAGCCTGCAGCCACTCAAGGGACACGCCGATCTAAAATCGGAGGCAAGAATATTTTAGGCCCTATGTTGGTTCTCGCTTAGCCTAATTTTCAGACGGCCACACACAAACAAACCCCTCTTTGTCGCGTCTCTTCTGCAGTTGGTCTACGATACAATCGATGGTCATTCAGGAAGGTTGGCTAGTTTGGCTGCGCTTATTTTTGTTTGCTCTCCGCCTCCCCCGAAAAAAAAAAGAACGAAAAGTTATGTCAGCTGCTTATCACACTGTCCTAACGTTTAGAGTAAAGGGATAAAGAAAACGTGTTTCCAATCCATTTAAGAACTCATGGGGTCACAAGTTCTATGCTTTTTAGTACGTGGGTTAGCGAGCTAAAAGAAGAATGGACACTATACGATGCTCATGTAACAGCCTGCTAAAGAGAGTTCTAGAACTGTAACACAATTTGTCAATGACTGACACTTTAACACAGACGTTCTTCCTTCCTACCACTAAAATTACCCGTATACAATTACCGTAACAATTGGTTACTGTGTGCGTCTAAACTTCAAAATTGAAACACGGCCAGGGGAAGCTGTTAAATTACACCAAACTTTCGTTAACTTCAAGTTTTGTTTGTGCGTGAACAAGAAAAAATTTTTGGGTAAATATCCTTTGTTCTGTAAGCCAACGACGTGAAACTAGTGATCTTTTAGTAGATTCAAAGACGAGAACGACTATGAGTCCCAGATTTTCTCAATACTAAGTTGTGCAAGTGCGTGAGCCAGTGTCAATAGAGATAACAGTTTAAACTTTTCTGGTGGAAGCTTTCTGGGGTGTCCACTTTTTGAGAAGACGCGAAAAAACTAAAGACAATTCTCCTCATCGCAGTCGTTCTCGTCCTCGAATCTAAAGGTCTCTACTATTTAAACCTCGACTGAAGAAACTTGTATCGAGACGACTCATATCGTAACGTCTTTGTATCGAAACGACCTGTAACACGCTAAGTCCGTCGATGGAAGTACTTCAATGTACGCCGGACGGTCATTTCGAACACGGCAAAAACCATATGCCCCATTTTTGTATCTTTCGGAAGAATTTCATCTACTTCTCGTTCCAAACAAACTAAACCTTCATTTTTTACGAGCTGTTGTATAGTCACCATTCTCGTCGTTCAACCAAGTGATCAACTTGAGCTGAGAGCACAGTTTTGGTCCTTTTTGTTTATGGTTCTTTTCTTTTTACTACTGCCTACGCTAATTAATTAGAGTTAAAAGTTTGAAAAACTTTAACCTCTCTGCCACTAACACAGTTAATCAAGACAACAATCAACTGGCTTGCACAACAAAACACATGACTAAATAAAATAAGATTCCAATTAAATCACAAACACTTTTGAAGGGCAAAATAAGACGTCCATCAAGAACTTTTACGGCATGCGCGTCCATCGTTTGCCCAATGGTAAACGCATGTGCTCTTTTTCCAACAGACAAATCCAAGTTGAATTTTTATTCTATGTGGTGGTTATTGTTCCGTTTGAAGATAAAGCGGTACTTTAGCGGAGGGGTGGATTGATGCTGAAACGCGAAATATTCTCTAAGCAGTTCTGAGTTTAGAAAACTAAGTATTAGTCCATTAAAAGGTCATTGATATTAAGATGATACCCTGATTGCAGAGTCTAAAAGATCGATGGACACCCTGCAAGGAGTGAGAAAAAGATGATGTCAACGGTAACACTCTTGAGGGCAGCTGCACGTTTTTTCACTGGGATATTAATACAAGTGTAAGTGAAAAGCCAACCGCTTTTCCCAATAGATCAGATTTTCCGTCACGGAGAGGTTCACGAGTGGAGTCTGTTCCTTTCTTGCGCAAGTTTCCTCTGTTGTGTTCGACTCATTGTCTCTCATTTCAGACGAATAACTGAAAAATCCAGAGAGTCCACTGATCTTGTGGCCAACATAACCACTGGTCCTTTTGGGCTTGGTAGCAAAGCCTAGTTGGTAAAGTGCGAGCTGCAAGTGTTTTGACGTTAACCAGGAGCTGTTAAATCAACAGATGAAAGGTAGGCAAAGAAAAAAAAAAGCCTTTATAGAACTTCAGTCGTTAGAGTGATCACGATATCGCTGCTTCTTCTCCGCTGCTATCTTGCTAAATTCGACAGTCCAGTATAATACTTGCGACACTTTGGAACATGAAGTCCAAGTATCCTCTACATAAGTCATAGGTCAATAACCGTATTTTTTACGCGGCGTCAAAACCATTACGATTCGCCGTTGTAAAAGCGGTCAAAAGAAAAATTCTCATCTCCTCTTCTCATTCCTCTCGTTTGTCTTCAATGGTTCAGGTGAGTGACTGTAACACCCTTCTTTGCGGGAGCTTACAAGGGTGTAGCGCAAGGCGTTGCCATGCCAGTTGCCTTGGCGACAGCTATCAGGTGGTGACGCGCCCCCTTATCAGCCAGGAGGCTGATACTTCAGTATTGGGAGGCATAGTTTGGCTGGGAGTAGTCTGGTAGGGAGTTCATGTAACCTCCCCTCTCCCCCTGGTAGGTGGAGTCCTGGGATAGAACCGCGTCTGCCTGGGACTTCAGGTTGAAATCGTCTCCTAGGTAACTGTCTTGAGACAAGTCCGGCTGGGACAGGGGCTGTGAGGCCATGGGCTGGCTCATGGACATGCCACCTTGAGTCAACGGACCCTGGGACAGAGGCTGGGAAGCGTCCTGTCAAGAAGAAAACAACTCAAGCATTGAGCGAAAAAGCAATATCTCTCATCAATTTCTGTCTGAAAGAAACTTGGTCCTACCTGGCTTGCCTGGCTGGCTGGCATGTGAGGGGCATAAGCCATTGGCTGGTGCGGGTGATGGTTTCGTTGGTTTCGCTGACGGGGCTGCTGAACCGGACGGCCATGTGGCATGCGACCAGCGAGAGGCTAGGAGAAACAACAAAAAGGAAAATAAGATATGATAACATGCAATTAGCCAAAATATCAAAAGAATGGCAGCCCATACGTAACTCGCATAAACCCTCGCGAAATTCGGTTTTCAACTCGTGGATATCCGACGAGTATCCAAAGGGTTTCGATATGCAAATGTGTCACTCGCTCGCTTTGCATTGACAGAGATCGGCTCTTCGGCTCCGACCGAACTCACTTCCCGATATGAAAACGACATAGTCCGTGGTTGAGTTGTGCGATGCCAGGAAATATGAATTCAAAGATAGTTTTCAGGGAAAAGCAAGGTTTTGACGGTAAAAAGTTGAACTGAAACGCACTTTCGACAAACATATCTAGCGACGTAAGCAAACCAAGGTAAATTTATCAGCGAATAGATGTGGGACGTGAAACTCAGTTAGTCCCTGTCATCCCGCAGTAATTTTCTTTGACTTTCTAGTGATACAGATGTTGACAATAATAAAAGCTACATGGGAGACCAACAGCAAACAATCATACCTGTCCAAAGTAGTTGTGATGTGGGGGCGGTACAGGGGGGATAAACATTCCCACGGGTACCGGGATCCTAGCGGCTGCAGCAGGGGGGATGGCTCTTTCGGCGCCGATGTAGCCCATACGGTCATGGGTGTAACTGTAGGCGTCGTGGAAGGCAGCGGGGTCCATTGGTGCATGGGGTATCTGTCGATCATACACACTGCCGTGGATCAGGGCCTCGCGCGCATCGAACATTGTGGTGCTCATGAAACGACCTCCCTGATGATATTAATGAAACAAGAACCATTAGTTCATCTATCAGTAAGGTTTCTGTTGCATGGCAGAGGAATTTTGAGATCAATAGAACATCCTGATATCCTATCTACCAGCATTGAATACCATAATTTGAATGTTTGCGGGCTAGCCTCAAGAAGAACAAAATTAATGAAATGCAGAGTACAACAATGACAGTTAACTTATTAATAAGTTGTACTTAATGCGATGACAAAATAACATAACGAGAGTAAAGATACACTAAACAACTTCCACACCACTAGTCTCCCCTCGCTTTTGGCAAACTACCACAACACTTCATTATGGCTATAAACAACCGTTTTCGAAACCCCGGGAACACCCCCTAACGTTAGCATGACGTGAAGAGGAGACAGACTTTTTGTTTGCTTCAAGTTGCTATGTTTATACTAGGAAGAGAAGAGTCTCGTTACCGGATTGGTACGGTTGACAAGCTTCCTTGGTTTACTGAACTGAATCATACTCTCCTTCAGATTGTTCAAGGGTCCTGTAGAGCAACAAAAGCGTAATGTTAACAACATGTACCACTTGAGTTACGGGTAAAACGGGCAACAAAAACCGTGCAACTTGCTTGGCGACTTTGCTGCAAAACGAGTTGACTAGCGATGTTGCGCTTTTTAGCGCCCACGAAAAAAAACCCTTGCAACCTTGCTTGTTGCAAGACAGGTTGGAACGTGGGTGGTAACACGCCCAACATCGCTATTAACTCGTTTCGCAGCAATGTTGCAAAACCGGTTGCACGTTTTTGGTTTCCCGTTTTACTGTAGCTTTAGCTAGAACCCGCAGACCGGACATGCACAGGACTCACCTTCCACCAAAGCCTTGTTTTCTTTGTAGTAGTTCAGCAGGTGGTTCCACAGGGGTTGCTGCAAGTTAAAGAGGAAAACATGATACGTAAGTAACAATCAGAGAGAATAAAATTAGCTTTTACTGTCAAAGTTCATTAATGCATCGACGTCTTGTTCTAGATGAAAGCTTACATCACTAGCCACACAACTTACCCGGGACAAAATCTTGGGATTCCCGATGACAATGATGCCATACCTGCGTACAAAATAAATTCCAGTTTAAGATAAGAAACCCAACACGGCCTGGCGGAACGGAACAGCAAGAAAAATTGCTACTTCCAACAGGATTATGCCGCCCGCCAGTGCCCACACAGGAGCATTGACAAGGCCCGATCCTCGAAAGTACCAATCGAGATCGAGCATCACCTATACTAGGAAAGTCTCACGTGAGCAAGACATGTTTACCGCCACAATCCTTCGCGCAACAAAGCAATATCACGGCTCACTTTTACCTAGCCTCCCCGCAGACGTCCTTTGGGGTTCGTTTGTTACGCATGAATGCGTGACAAACGAACCCCAAAGGACGTCTGCGGGGAGGCTAACTTTTACCCACCAAAATGGCAACTGCGGATGTCGTTTTCGGTTTTATCCTGCTTCGCGGACACGACAATCGTTTCCCTTCTAGTCGACTTTGAAACTAAGACCGCAGCAGGATTTGCTCAGTCGGTAGAGCGTTGGCCTGCGGAGCAGGAGCTGCGGGTTTGATCACCGGGACCGAATTTATTCGAAGGGTGTTAAAATAACTGAGGAGCACTTCGGTACTGACATCGCTCTTACAATAGCGGTCCTGTCTTCAGTATGATACATAAAGACAGCAATGTCCTCACTTGCCACTTTGTGCCAATAACAGCGACACTTGAATGGTTTGTAGATTGTTCTTATTTGCCGGCCCTAGGAAACTAAAGGAGACTAAGGAAGTACGTACTTTGCTCGAGTCAACGCCACATTCAGACGTCTGGGATCGTTCAAGAAACCAATGCCCTGTAAACAAAAATACAAAATAATAAACTGGGTAAGAATAATGGGATTGACGCCAAAAATTAGCTTGCTACAGTGTAGCTGCAAATGCAAATTTCATAAAACAATCTACACTAAATAAATAAATAAACAAATAAACAAACAAATAAATAGGTAACTACCTGGTGTTCATTTGAGCGCACACAAGAAAGAATAATGTAATCCTTCTCTCGACCCTGAAAAGCATCCACGCTGGCCACCTCGATTTCCTACAGTCACCAACAAAAGAGAATTACAACAGTGAACTTACATTTTCTGTAAAGATACAGCATTTGTGTTAAAGCGGTTCTGGTTGAAATAGACGAATGTATGAAGGTATTACTAAGTCTTCATATTATTACCATGTAGAGATTGGCGTGAAGTGATCCGCTAAACTGCATGTACTGTACTATATAGGCTCTCTGTCCTTCGTATGGAGTGATCACTCCAATCTGCTCTGGCTTGACTCCTGCACGAAGAAATCGAGTGGCAATCTTCTCCACATTGGCAGCTTCAGTCCTGTTCGACGCAACAAACAATGAGTTGTATAACACAACCACAAAGTTCAATTTTAGGTTTGATTAAAAACTCGAAAGCTTGATTCAATAGACGAGACAGGCAAATAATTACCGATTTGAATACCGGTGTGGCCTCTTGAATTTTATTCCCCGAACACTGGGGTCAATTTAATAAAACTTTCACACGCGTAATTTACAAAGGTAGCCATTGTTTCAGGGTCTAAATACAATAGCTACACTTGTAAAAATGTTATTAAATTGACCCCTGGAAAAAGATAAGCTATACGAAGTAAGAATTTCAATGCATAGAAAATGAAAAAGTGGAGGTCTTTTCTAAAAAAAAAAGAAACGAAAAGAAAAATTCAGGAAAATGGAAACCACAACGACAATCATATACCCAACAAAAATGAGTAGCTACGAAAAAATAAATTGTTCTATCTAGTGTATCAGCTTTTTGTAACGAATCTTCTAAACAATTTAAAAGAGAAATAAACTCCACTCCGCTCGTTTCGAATGCAACGAAGTTTCCTTCCTCTTTCCTTTCTATGACCAATCCAAAAGGCTACTGTCTCAAAAAGCTGCTAGTTCCGCTGTAGCGCCTGCAGGCTGTTACTTAAGGAAAAGCATGGCATTAGTAGCTCGATAAAAACCGAAGTAAAGATGGGTCTTTCTACTCTTGGAAACGGAATCACTAGCTAATTGAGGAATACCTGTTGAGGTAGGATGTACCAGACGAGGCAATTTCTTCCTGGCCCATGGTGGAGTAAAAGAACATTGGTTTGTCAGGAACAGGCCAAGGAAAGTCAACTCCTGACTGCTGACGTTCAGCTGAATAAAAATTAAACACACAAACAATTATTCATTACTGAACAACAACCGTAGAGCCTTTTGCACCAGGAGTCAATTATGGCAACGCGCCTTATAGTTCTAACTTTTGAGTCTGTGCATGTAATCCTACGGTGCGGCCCTTCAAATGACACCTCTTCAGCAGTACTTTCACATGGTACTACTTACTTAGTATGTAGTTCTAACTTTTGAATCTGTGGATGAAATCCTATGGTGTGGCCCTTCAAATGACACCTCTTCAGCAGTACTGACTTTCACATGGTACTATTCAATATGCAACAGGTTCTACTTGTTACTTTTGACAAAATCCTACAAAAGTTACCATTAAAATGAAGCCTACTTCGTACATTCCTATGGTGCTTTCCATTTTCAATACATAAGTTCTCAAAATTAATTTTAAGGCTTTTTAAAACTGAATTTTGATTTCGGACACTCAAATTAATACGATTAATACGTCAAGCAACCATCGTGGTGGAAACTGCTGCCGAAAGACCGTCTGCTTGGCGGTTTGGGAATATTACACTGGAAAGCAGGACAAGCTTACCAATAGTAACACCATTCTGAAGAGTGCCATCATAGAACAGATTGGATGGAAACTCGCTCAAAGAAGGGTGCATACGGTACTGGACTTGCAGACGAATTGGGCGGATACCAAGTACCACAAGACGTTCAAACAACGACTGGGACAGACCAGCACTGGAGAGAATAAACAAAACAACAACAAACATTTATGAGTACTACACAAATTAATACTGTTAACTGAATTCCATAAAACACCCAAAAGGAGAAATTTTTAAGAGCTTTAAATTACACAATTTTCTATGATGAACTGCAAGTATGCTCAACCAACTACTCAGCTGATGATATCCTTGAGTATGCGGCACATTCATGCGAAGCAACTGATGGGTGAATGTGATAATACTAGATTCCGTGGTATTGATGGGAGCCTCTCACTCAATTCGTAATAAATTAAATGTAATTAGGGGAACTGCTTTGAAAGAGTAATTATTTTCGCCGACAAGCTTGTTTTCCCTTTTTCTTTCTCGCTGTGAAAGGTTTGAACCCAGGAGTAATTTCATAGGTAGGTGGAACATGATTGTCCGGTTGATCGTAGTTGTGAATAGGACTGTTGTTGACAGTGCATGACGTTTCGATAACCTGTGCGGCAATCATCTTCAGAGTAAAAGTGAGTTGTATCCTTTCAGTTGATGGTATTAAACTCTGGTTATTGACCTGATTGGTCCGTAAAGTCGCTATGTTATTGGTCGTCTATCAGTTAAGCCGTGATGTTATTGGTTATGAAAACTCTTAAATGTCACTGGTGCGTGTCGATCTATCTTTTTGTCACAGTTGAGCAGTCATTTATTGCTAGACAAATTGTCGGTTATCCAGTCATTCTGTAGTTGACAGTTTTGCTCGAGTCTGTCAGTAAGTCGTTTGTACGGTGCTGGTAATTGCTGACTGCGATCCAGTGGCGTTTGTTCTAAGTTAGCACACCAGCTTTCCAAACTAAGTTGTTAATAGCAGTCTGTACAATAAGTTATGCATGTCGCATTTCTCTCTCTCTCTCTCTCAGTTTTTAGAGGCCCTCAAGTCTTTTTACAGGGGCAAAGTTCAAACATACACATGTATCACAGGCTTACTTAGCTGCCTTCTTGCACATCACTACAGGTCCAAGCTGACAGTGATCTCCAACCAGGATCAGCTGAAAAGAGAATTCTTACATGTCACTGTTCATTCTGAAACAAGGAGAATTCAGTGTTTGGCAGGATCTTAGAGATCTCAAGCTCCAAAAGATAGTAATTGTAAAATGTGAACTGTTCAAGTGGACTGTATGTATTTGACCTCTTGGATTAGGAATAAAAAGCATTCATAACTAGTGGTAATCAGGATCATAGGAGAATAACAAATGCCTGCTGCATATTTCTACATCGTAAATTTATTCATACATGTAGTATGTGTTCTCCATCATTGCATGCATTTAGTTCAGAGGAGAATACTACTATTTTTCCCTCCCAAAACCTTATCTGAATGAGTTAAGCAAGCTCTTTCAGCAACATGCTAACTAACCTGTTTACAGCCTAGTATGACTGGTACCATGCACTCAGGTTCAGTAGCTTGAGTTGACTCGTCAATCAACACTGTGCGGAACCTGAACTTAGATAGGCGAGGGTCTCCAGCTCCAACACATGTGGTGCAGATGACATCTGCATGCTGAAATGTTGCAATAAATTATTAATACTCACCAAGTAAACAAAATCAGCTTACCAAATTTTATTTAGGGGAGAATAAAACCAAGTTTTTTGTTATCCACATCAACTAAGTAGGCACGAAAATTGAAAGTTCTACAACTGCAGAAGGTTTTCAGATGTATGTGAAAGAAAAAATACATGTAAATGTTTAAAACACGACCATTCCAATAAAACCTTAGACTTGCCCCGAGGCTGACCTCATGAATTTCACAAGAGGTTATCCTGCTGGCCATATTACATAGGATAGGTACTTGTGCTTAAGCCTTAAATATAAAACGTCTACAGCAATACTTTCTTGTAGTGCGGTCTAAAATTTTGCAAGATGGTTCTTGCTTTTATAGACCAAACTGTGTCCATTCAAAATAAAATTTCTTCAATCGCACCTTATACATGTAGGATTTGGATTTTACAAAATTCTCTAATTATTATGAGTGGACAAGTTCCTGCCACCAACCTGAAGGAGTTCCCGCTCACAGTTCCTCTTCAGAGACCTGTACCTCTTCTCATCAGCAGCAGACAGCTCACCAGCCTCATCTTTCAACTGCTGCAGCTTCTGAAGCTCAGGGACGCTGTCCATGTTACGCACTTGATTGTGCAAAGCAAGGAATGCCACAGGGGAGTCAATTGCTTCTCTGCTCTTGGCACACAGTCTTACAACCTGTTCTCAGAATACAAATTAACATTGTATTTCCTTGAATAAGCTCCCTTGCTCTAATAGGCGCCCTCCCCCAAATAAGCACCCACTACAAGGCCATAATAACAAATAAGCATCCCCCTCCCTTCCTCCTTAAATAGTAGGGATACAAGGAAAACCAGCTTTTATAGACACTTAGGCTTTGACAACAGCAGAATCAGTACAGGGGAATAGTTTCTCTTCTGATAACTCACTTTCAGATATTTATATATCCATGTGCTTTCAGAGATCCTTTATGTGCGTTATCTCTCCTTTCAATTTTTGTCCTATTGCCGCACTCTTGGTAAATGCTGTAAACTCCCAAGGAACAGCTAGACCATTCTCTAATTCGTTTAGAGGAACGTAATAACAGCCCCCCTCTATTAAGTGCCCTCCTTCAAATAAACGCCAATCCTTTTAGCTAAAATTTGAAATAAGGGCCCAGGCGCTTATACAAGAGCGAGTAAGAGCTACTATGATAATTCCAAAATTTGGCTTATGACAGGATACACACAAAGTCTGACGATTCCTTTCAAAACTGCATGCCGAATCCTTGGTATAAACAGTTGTTTATTGATTTGTTTCATACAAAAATTAAATGGACACATGCAGCCAGAAGAGACTGGATGACCAGAAATGGATGTTCTGTTAACACATCTAAAACAACCACACCTTTAGTCCTGTTTTATGTATCTTTTCTGTAAGTTGATCCACTGCTATGTTACTAGGAGCACACACTAGAACTTGTCTTTAAGAAAATGAAAAATGAATTAACAAAATCACAAACACATTAACAAGTATTTTAGGAGTTTTCATTAATTTCAGGGGTTTCAATCATGGCCACTGCATTAAGTAATGTCAATAAGGAACCAGCCAAAATTTCATAATGATCATTGGCATCAAACGGATTGTCTAAACTGAACAATCTCATAAAAGGTGTAAAAAGGAAGTACTCACAAGGATGCAACCACAGTTAGTCTCAACTTATTCAGAAGATAGCGGAATTCCATGAAGTATAATGAACTAACAGATTCATTTGCTCTAGAGACAAAGACTGTATTGTTTTTACAGGAATAATCAGTGTTTTAACACTCACCCATTATTTTGCTTTGCCAAGTGATAAACTATACTAGCAGAGGTCACTGTCTTCCCAGTACCTGGGGGTCCCTACAAACAAAAGAAATAAGAATGAGAATTCATTCACAACCATAACATAACCTGATTGACTTGTAAACATGTAGCCAAAAGAAGTTGGGAAACATCCAAGAAACTGTGTTATCCACTGACCTGAATAAGACTGAGTGGCCTTTGAAGCACTGTTTTTACAGCATACACTTGGGAATGGTTAAGCTCTGGTAGCCCTTGTGCAGAAAACCTGTGACAAACATGATCATACACAAATTACTTCAGAGATGGGTGGAAAACACAAATATTCCTTAGGATTTAAGTTACTGCACATTCAGGCCACCATCAGAGCCATCATTACCCACAGTCATTTTACGGGCTGAAGTTGGCTGGCAGCATTTGTCGTTACATTTACATGTACATGTACAATGCAAAATGGCATCACTGTTAGGTTTGTTCCTAACAGGAAGCTTCCTTTTCAGATTAAAAAAAAAGGGTGGAACTAGTTTAATCAAGATTAGTACATCTGATTATAACTGGCACGTTTTTTGAAAGACTTGAACAGGTTGTGTTTCTGGTTCTGCAAAACCACCACAACCAGGCAAATTTAAGGCACAAGCTTAGGACTGCAAATACCAGCCCTGTATAGCCATGTGTATATCCGGATTGGCTATATGTATGTTGTTTTACTTCACAAAAACTTAACACAAACACTTTGTCTGATTATTTACAGATTTTTACGAAAATAAGTTGAAGTATTTGATTACCTGATGTGTAAAAATACACACACATATAAGAGACCCTTGTCTCAAAGGATAATGGTCCACAGTCAGGAGGACCAGTTGAACAGTAAAGGTACTCTTAACTGTATACTAGAATCTCAATAAAATATCAAGATCTGAAAAGTACTTTTAAAAAACTAAAACAAAAACCCCAGAATTTAAAGGCAAATATAACCCCTTAATAAAAATGTTGGTTTTTCAAGTCTTTTGTCTTAATTACATTTCTTGTGCTGACTAGCACCAGCCTACATGAATGTTCCTAAAATAATATTTAGATTTAGCCAGGGCTAAAACCAAAGCTCTCGTTAATATACTTCTGCAAACAAAAAATAAAATCGTGTTATGCTAAATGGCAATGGAAACAAGAGCAGCAAAAAAATTAGTTTATGCTTTGTTGTTGCTTCGTTGCTTTTTTCTCTCCCAAAGTCCAATTGGCCATGTGGGTAGTAAATGTGATATTTGGCATTGGTTTACATGTAAGGGGTGGATGTATGCATGTGTGTCGTATGGACAGATGCTCACATGATAGCCAAAATTTCTCAGATCTATAGATTACAATTTTTTTTGAACCCATGGTGTTCCACTACATGTGCTTTGTGCGCACGAGAGCAAAGAAGCTCCCTCTCATGCTAGTACTTTGGAGAAGGGTAAAATCTGGTGTAACTTGGGGGAATCCTTTGACAAACAGACTCTGATATGTTTTAAAAATGTTTTCCCAGTTCAACTCTGACATACACTGGATGAGATGCTTGCCCACAGCCAAAGAAAGACATATACACATGTATCTCTAAAACAAACCTTTTTGGCAGCTGGCACTTCACCACTTGTTCTTCCACTTCATGCCCCAGCAACTTGTGATAAATGTAGCCACTAACTGAAGTCTCATCTACAGCAAATGTTTTCATTCCTGTCTGCATTCTGTCGATTAACAATAAGACCAGACACCAATTAACAACAATATAAAATCAAATTTTCAAAATTAATATTAATTTAATAATTTTTATAATGCACACTACTAACAGCCAGGCAAACAGACTTCAGGGATAATATTGGTGTGACAAGTGATAATGTACATCAAACAATTTGATTTGAAAGCTCAATACTGTATCTATATCTCAATAAAAGCCATCCTCAAACATCTTCTACAGATGGAAGCAAAATTACCAACAATTGCTGCCCTCGATAAATGCCACACCCAATCAGAAAAACTGTGCCCTTTATTCGAGGATTAAAACAAAACACTTAGTACAACTTTTAAATCGACACCATCCAGACAATGACATATTACAATAAACTATTTCTATCTGAGCAAAAACGGGATAACATACAAATTAACAATTTATCATAATTTCTGTCAGTGATTTTCTTTCACCTGTCAAAAGAAGTCGATTTCCATACAAAATCCACCACAAAGTTATGTGTGCACTCCACTGGAGCACCAAGATTGCTGCGTAGCTCAATTCCAACTTCTTCACCAAAGTCTATGGGGTGTGTGTCAAGGAATTATCTATATGTAGGTAACCTTACACGCATACAAAATGAATCATAAACATTTCTTGAATAGCAGAGATTTTAGAGGTAGAATGAAATTACCTCACCAACAGTTCATTGACCAAGGATACATGTACACTGTATAATGGAATGGTTGCTTGAAAGAGTGAAATGTTACATTTCTGTTGCACTCAGAGAAATGCTTACTACAAATCTGATATCCACTTCACAGAAAAGGGTTCCCTTTAAATGAGACTTAAATCTGTGGTAAAAATGTGACTACATGAAAAATATTTGTCATTGACAAAAGGGTAGTATTCACAGGAGGTTAATAACCTTATTGCATGTTTTGTCATTGCCATCCAAAGTTAAAAGATTCTGGAAAATCTCAGGAAATGGATAAAAAAAAATTGCAAATTTGAAATAGCACTGTCCTCACCACTAAAGGGCCCTAAATAAGTGAGTGGTGGCTTCATGAGCTACATGCTGGCCCAGTTGTTCACAAAAGGATACTGTTTGGCACTTTGGTAACATGTCCAACTCCCTGCCAAGGTTTGTGCAGTTCACCAACATATCTCAGTCGCAGTTCATCACCCTGCATAAGCCGCATATCGTCATTTGTTTTAGGAAATGTGAAGTATGCAATCCTTTTCTTGTTCAAACCAATGTCCCAGCGTACAACAATGTTATCTTGAGTCTGCAGATAAAAAGAGGAAGGGTTGATTATGGCTTAAGTGATTTTCATAGGAGGCTGAAATGACTGGGTATACAGGGGTGAGGCGGGAGGGGGGGGGAACATACTGTAACTAGAGCTGGTCACTTTCAGCTATCATAATACTAATAACAAATCTTGTGCTTGCTTAACATAGCACGTACTTTCGAGGCAACTGTTGTTTGACTATTTAACTGAACTTAGTAAGGACATATTAGGTCCACGTTTCGTTCAAGTGATTTTTAAGGATTGGTCTAGATTCGAAAAATGTATTACTTCTTATTTCTTAGTTGCATTTTATTATCTTCACTTTTATTTTTCTGTATCATCACAATTTTTTTAAATTTTGCCTTTGAAAAATTCTGTAACGCAGTTTGTTTTTTAAAAACAATTTAATCCCTTGCAGGCCACATAGTTTAAGCCGTGTGCCCTACATGGTTAACAGTTTGCATTCTTACATTTAATACTGCATCATCATCATCATCATCATCATCATCGTCATAATAATAATTTTTAATAACAAAAAGTCTTTATTCAATACTCATAAAAAAAGACTTATGTACAGTGCTTCACTTAAAAAGAATTACAACGAAATTTGTACCTTAACATCTGTTAGAAAGAAAAGAAAAGTTCTGCCACCAAACACTTCAATGAAGTTTGACTGCTGTTAAAGCAAACTGTCGTGCCAAAGGTAAGTCTTTTATATGTTTTTGATCAGCGTGTTCTGCTCATATTTCATTTTTCTCAACTTTCGGGCATGTTTCTAGCTCAAAAACAGCACACCTGCCTCCAGAGATTATTCTTAATGTCTAAAAATTCAGGGATCATACCATTTTTGAACCAGAAACTCAAGGACTTTCAAAGATTTTCACGGACACATTTCCCATTTTTCAAGGACTCCACTCAGTGCAAAAAAGAGCCTTGAGTCTATTTTTTAGCTCTTCCACAACATGAGCAATTTTATCCTAAAGGTCTTTCTCTTTTTGCTCTTGTAGGCACTTGAGAATCCGGGTTGGATAAAGTTAGCACAGAATTCAAGGACTTTCAAGGCCTTGAAGGACTATCAAGGACTTCCAAGGTGCGTGCGAACCCTGACGATATTTTGTTACTAATATTAAATACAAAAGCTAAATATCACTCTATGGTACTGACACAATAGCAAAAGGGGAGCTAAAGTCTGGCTATTTCTTTGACTCTCTCAATCTCAACAGTATCTAAAGATTATAGTTTAAATTCAGCAATGTGATTGTATCTATGCTGTGGACATAACGAAAACAAAACTATAACAACCTTTAAAATATGAACCGCACAATGAGTATGCAGGGTTGTCACTAAGATTTCAAGTTGCCGGGTAAATACAACAAGTAGGCGGGGAATCAAACGGCAAGGGATTTCTTTTGGTTCTATTTTCTTTCTATTTTCCAATAAAAGTAGCCGGGGGCCACTCTCTTAGTAGCCGGGGAAAATCCCCGGCCCCTGGCTCTTAATGACAACCCTGATGAATATGGATGCTACAAGTAAGATAATAACCTGAGACTCTTTAAGTTTCTTGTCATAGTCTGCCTCTAGTTTAACAAGTGGCCCAAATATGTTCTGATATTGGTAAGCATCTTCATACCTGCATAAATGAATTAACAATCAGCTGCTGTGAAAAAATAATAGGGACTTTAAGATGCCACAATGGTATACATGGTAACAACAACATACATGGATGTTTGTCCAAATCACATGCTTGAATTCAAGTTTCTTTTACATCTAAATAGTCTGACTACTGTGAGCTATTTTGGACTTAGGACTATTGTTACTGCATCTAGTTATCTCAATACAAAAACTTAAAAAACAAAAATTGCAAACCTCAGAAGAACCTGTTGTGGTTCATCATCAACTCCAGGCTTGTCCAAATCTTCCAATCTGGCTTCCGGGTTGTCCTAGAGATATGGAAATAGCTCTTGTTCACTATAAGTACTAGAAAACATTCAATGTCCTCACCAGACTGATGAGTAGAAGGATGGTAAAACCACAAAAAAGACAAAGGCAGAAAGATGGAGAAAGAAATATAGCCCCACCTTCCACAGTTCTTCAAGCTTGTTGATCTGCTGGGCTGAAATCTAGAATAAAAGTAACAAATTCATGGTATGCGTGTGTTACAGACATTAATACATTCTTTTACCTTAACTTATGCTTTGACAGTGTGCTGCACAATAACAAATAAGTAGGTTCAGCATGATCGTCCGGGTGAACGTAGTCCTGAATAGGACTATCGCTGACACTGACTGTTGTTTTGATAACTTGGCAGTAGTCATCTTCAGAGTCAAAGTTAGTTGTATCACGTCAATTGATGGTATTAAACTCTGGTTATTGTCAGTAAATAACCAGAGTTCAATACCACCAACTGATGTGAAACAACTCACTTTGACTCTGAAGATGACTACTGCATAGGTTGTCAAAACGTCCGTCAATGTCAACAAAAGACCTCTTAAGGACTATGTCCACCCGGATGATCATGCTCAACCTACTTATGAGGTGACTCCTGGGTTCAAACCTTTCACAGTTTTATATTACAACTGTAATCATCACAAATATAACAAAAATTCTCTCAACTGAATGGCTATCAATAGCCCTGATTTCAATAATATAGTGTAGTAAGACAGTATGCTATTGTTACAAAACAAAATGATTGTTTCAAGAAATTTTTCAGTTCAATCACTAACACAATTTCAGAGCTACAGGTTAGTCAAGTTATGGACATACCTTAATCTACCTGGCTCAGCTGCCAAATAAGCTCAGAATCATTTGACATTACAATATGAACATGCTATTATTCATTTTCTTGCTTGCACACACGTATACACTGCTTGTTTGAATTTGAAGAGGGTATTTGAAACGGTATTTAAGGAGAAGCTCGGTACAGATATCCTTGAAGACACATTCACTTAACTTGGTCTTGTTTTGATCTTACGCATAAAGCTGCTTGTGCATTAGCTATGCTGTGTTTGCAATCCGTTTTGTGTCATGTCAAGGTAAAATTATCAAGAAATCAGTCATGGGTGAATCCACTGTTTTCTGCTTCAAGAGACCCGATCCGCAAATTGATTCTCCAAAAAATGGCTGCTGGATTAATATTCCTTAGTTGAAATTTAAATTAACCTGACTAGCCTTGCTCTTAACTCTAAAATTCAAAAGAATACCTCAAGAATATTAATCTAGCAGCCATTTTTGCATTAGGTCCACTGGTTTTCCTTTCTCAACTCTCATTTTGTGCAGGAAATGCGAATCAAGAAAGGAGAATGACGTTGAGAATCAAGACTCGCATTGGACTGTCAACAAACCTTAAAACAGTACTTTACCTGTCTCGCCCTGAGCTGGTCCTCATCAGGAGGAACCTTAACAAGCCACGACAAGAAACAACGATCATTGATCAGTGGCTGCCACTGGGCTTGATCCCTGAATGATTGGACAGAAAATTAGCGGGTAATTTCAAGGAACATGGACAAAAAGGTGTACTTGAGTGAAAAGTGGAAGCAGAAAGCTTGTCCTTACCAATTCATATCCTTGGAGTTACTCTGGGTTGCACAAGGTTGCCTAAAGGATGGTTAATAATCCAAAATTAAAGGATAAGGTAAAGGCAAACACATGAGAGTGGAAGCATAAGTAACTGAAAATTTTAACAATATTAGCTTTTCAACCAGATGAGTTATGTACAATTTGTACTGCTGATAAAGTGTAAGACGACAGGGTCTAGCATGCTACTTTGGCCTTGACTATGAGAATGTGGTCCAGTGCAATCAACAATTCAAGGGATGCCAGAAGAAAAGCCCAAGTGACTTCTGACAAATTTGACACATAGTTTCTCTTTTCTAAATTGCCTTGCTTTCATATATTCACTAAAGGAAGAGTTTGTAATGTGATTACCAGCCACCAAGTCCATTAATACCGTAAAATTCTGAAAATAAGCCCCAGAGCTTACATTTTTCAAAGGCCCTTTTTGAGTGGCCTATTTTTGGAGGGGCTTATCTACAGAGGGAAATTTGCATTTCAAAATTGGTTGGGCTAGCCTTACAGTTGGAAGTAAATTTACTGTTTTTGCTTTATTTTACTTTGTATTTGATGGCAATTTTCCAAGTGCAAGCTCCCAGGAGGGGCTTATTTTCAGAATTTTACGGTATTCCTTTAATATTGTTTCAGAGAAAATCTGCTGCCTTGGTAGTCCCTTGATTGTGTACTGACCTACATAAGAGTACCACAACAGAATCAGCCTTGGCTGGGATAAAACCAAGCAGAAACACATTGCGACAGGCACAGTTATAACACTCTAGGATTGTCTCTCCCAGGGGGCCATCTTTGTGCAGTGTCACCTCTTTGTGTTTGGCCCTGACCAAGTGGTTAACAATATGGCTGTCAAGGTAAAGGAAATAAGTAACCATTAATGGTCCATACTTTGTTTTTTAGTTAAATCTCCTTTTTGGTAGCAGTCAGGCATACAACAACTCAGAGGAAACTGTATTCATCAATTCAATCACTAAGACAAGAAGTCAAAACTAAACTTTTGAGGCCTTTCTAGCCTCGCTTTTGAACAGCTAGACTCGGGCCGGTTGAGAGGTCTGCCTTATTTGCATTTGATGTATAAAACACTCAATAACTGTATTATAAGAAGGAAGACTAAAGTTTTGTCAAAATTATAATGGAAGCCACATGCCCCAAAGAAAAGGGAAGGAAGCCTTGGGTGCTTAAACATGAGGGCCCAGTTCCCTGAAAGATGGTTAAGTTCAACTAACTTTAGATTAAGCCAAATTTTAAGCATGGTTTTCTTGTCTAAGAACATGTAATGCAAGCTTGCAGAATGCTGTTGAGCCTTTACTCTGAGATAGAGTAATGATAACACAAAAAATTTAATGTTTAATACTCTAAGTGATGCATAGGATGGTAAACACAAAGAGTGGAACAAACCTTTAATCTGTGAGGCAGTTGGTTAAATCCTAGATTAGTGCTAATCAGCCTTCCAGGAGCCGGGCCCAGGAGTTAAGTTATGGACTAAAAAGTTTCAGTTACTGACAACCAAGTGAAAATTGGCCAACTTTATGGCACTGTTTTTCTGCCTCCAAGATTGTCTGGAGGAAATTGACTTCGACTATTTTTGATTTTTAATATCAACAAATAAAAACATTGCCTACCTTCCTGCAGTATTTCCTCGACCATTACAAAACCACTTCTTACACTGAATACACTGAACAACAGATGCAGGGTCATGGACTCCACAGTACCTGAAAATAGTTTAAACACTCGTTTACTTTACAATCTGAGAACATCTACTTACATACATGAAACAGCAGAGAATTTTCAGAATCGTTCAGCCACAATACCACTTGCATGGACTTAACCTGATCAAGAGAACTGTTCCCCCGCCATAACACAGAGTTTTTGAAGATGGCAACATCACAGCTCACTTCATACCATTCAAGAGCAATTATTTGAAGGAAACAGGAATACCAAATAGGGTCAGAACTTTACCAAAGTCTCTCTACTTCTTGTACTTTTGAAGTCTGAGGTCTTGGGATAGGACCAGACTTAAAGTATAAATTTTATTGGCTCCAAGACAATAAATAACTGTGCAAATTAGAGATGACGATAACACTATTAATAATGATTAAAATAATAACAACGATAATAATAATGAATAATAATATTAATAATAATAATATAAACAAAATATTACAATACTTAGTTACATAATAAGCTTACCAATTATTATGATGTTGTATATTGCAAAGTAGAAATGCTCAATCGGTGAAAAAACAGTCTCCATCAAAACCGTTATCACACTACGGTCATTTTATAACTTTTTTCAATCCTATTAAGCCAAAAAATAATGCAACCAAAAGAGTTTCTCCTATGATGACTTTGCTGAGTAAGGATGAAATTTTGCTCAAGGGCAGCGTCATTACAAAGGCTAAAACTGAAAACTTCGAGAAATTTTCACAATAAGGAGGTACGTAAACCTCAAGTCAGTTTCCAGCAATTTCTAACTTACCGAAAACACGCACTGTGGTTTAAACTTTCATACATATATCTAATTTGAAAAGCCTCATTTTAACTACTAAAAATTCAAATAACTGCTTTCAAAATTAACACACCTGCATGCGTAGGCCGGAAGATCTTTCGTGTAATAGGTTTCATCTTCGTCTTCCTCGAAGTTGAGCTCACCCAACGAGTTGTTAACCTTTGCAACTCCGCCATCTACCTTTGAATCATCATTCACTGCTACTGGGCCATTGTTAAGCTCTTCCTTCTTGTCTACGACATTTCCGTTGACTAAAGGTTGACTACTTTCAGGCTGTGAAGCTTGCGACTGAGTTTGTGTTTGTGATGGGACAGTGAAATCGTGAAATTCGTACTCGCTTCCCTGTGTATCTGCGCCGAAATCTGCTTCTTCAGTGTCTAGAAAAGTAAGAGTTTGAGAAGCAGGTCCATATGAGTCTACAGTGCTCATCTTAAGTTGGAAGAAACGTTACAAATCAGTTGCTTTCGCTAGTCAAACCGAAACACAGAACAGTTGAGAACGTGGCCAAGATGGCGACCGGAGCCACGCGATTCCTGTTTCGCAATACTTTCGCTAAAGATCGGTTACGCTCGGTGAATCCGATAAAGTTTCGAACATTTCCGAATACTTGTCGATGTGAAAGATTCGGAAAACATTCCCGTCGTTCATTTCGTATTAAACATGGCGGCCGTTGCCGGTTGACTAGCAGCTAAATACAGGAATTGCACCGACCTGTGATTGGAAGATAAAAATAGTATTTCAGTGACGATGACGTGACAATTCGTTACGTTAGCCGTTTCAAGAGTAATGGTTTTTACACGAAAAAGACAGTCCACAGGAAAATACAATAAAATATTAAATATTTCTCAAAGACAAACGGTGCAGTATTCTTTTGAAGTCGGCTGACTAGCTCGCTAAGAGTCAATGTCCTATCGAAGTTGAAGTTCAACTGTCGCAAATCGGATAACTTCACTGAGTGATTCTGAGATGAAACCTTTTGTCTGCATCCACATTGATCTTAGATTTTACCACTTACATATTGAAGAAAAGCCATAAACAGAGCTTCAATGTCCACGTACACCCGACTGAACCTCGGTGCGATTCCTGCAGATACCGCTGTTCATACTAAATGCAGGAATTGCACCGGACGCGTTCTCGTCCCCAGAGTCACTCTAAGTTGTAACAAAAGAGCACGTGACCAAGAAAGACGGGCTCTGGGAACGAGAATACACCGGACGCTCATTGGTCGAATGCGCAACTTGGCATAAATTAAATAGCCGCGGGAAACTTTAATTGATTTTCTCGCGTTTTGATTTTCGCTTGATAGGACAAGACTTAGGCCACTGGAAATAACACATCACTTGTATTCGAAGTTAAATTATACTGAAGCAGGGGTTATAGGATCCTGACTAAAGGTCATCTAAACCTCGGGCTGATTGTTCTTTGCCTTTTTTCTTTTACTGCTTGACTTTACAAGTGTAACATGCTCTCCTTGGTGAGTATATCGAATCTGAAATACCTCAGCAATGTAAAAATAATGGTCACCTAAACAGCCTGGTTAAATCCCATCATGTCCTTTGGAAGAAACAAAAATCCCCTTTTCAGCAAACCGAATAATCATTGCGTTTCAGCACGTAGCTGCGAGGACCATTTGACCTGCCACAGGGGTGGGTGGGTGGGGTTGAGTTTTCGCAGAAAAAAGTCTGTGGAGAAACTAAAGACGAGTCAATGCTTGTTTTAAGCTAATAGAGTTACATGTCATGTTCACTGCAAAATTTAGGAAAAGGCGGTCCACCTGTAAGAGTTTGCTGAAATTAGCTCTTGTATTTACACTTTGTGTACCTGTGGATAACATTTCTACATTGATTTATATTTTTATTCATTTTTTTTTTGGGGTGGAGGGAGTTGAGGGCAGTCAATGACTAAACACTCATCTGAATGAATCTGAACTCTATTCCATGCAGGCTGGTGACTGGCAAAAGTGCAGTAAGCAAGTAACCTCTTCTGCCCTTACCAGCCATACCAGGAGAGAGGCCTTTGAATTCAATTTACCCCCACAAAATCCCCTCGAAATGCTGATGGTGATGTTGTTGTGTCAGATTCTCCAAGAATTACAACAAACCCCTTTTCATTGAAAAAACAATACCACCGTTTAGTCTGTTAACAACATGGGATAAGCAGCTAAGCTTCTGGCAGAAAGAAGAGAAGGGTTACTATTATCTGCAGCATGGCTCCCAATGTTTTGGCATATCTGATGTTAAAGATATGTTAAAAGTACATTATGCAAGGGATCTACAAAGGGCCGTCCAAGCAGAATTAAACTGGTTTTCAGAACCATACATTAAACCACTGACTGTCCAAATGTATCCTCCAGAAAGTTCCATAAAGAAATTTCAGGAAATTCTATACTTGAATCGTTTTGATTATATTATTCCAAACTATGACATGACACCAAATGAAGTGGCTTCTCTCTGTGTCACACGATGGGTTTTAAGTGACCTTCTTGACAGTATTTACACACATATGTACTGTTTCATGCACTCAAAAACTGTTTAATTTGGTTTCTGTACATTTGAAATCTTCTGTTTGTTTTAAATTTGCTTTTTGTTTTGCAAAACTACTACCAGGGATAATCAACTTTTTGCCGGCTGTGAAATATAGCCCCAAGCTGTGAGCATGAATGTCTGGCTTTCTTAGCATTATATAAATCATTGCCGAAATGTTATCTAGGTAACAGATATATACGTTGGCTAGTTTATACATAAGCTTAATATATGTATGTTGTGGTTCAATTTTGTCCTTGGTTTATATTTTCCTTTGTTTTTGTGTATGGTAATCTATGATAATGAGTTTACAATAAAGGAAACTAAAATTTAAACCAAGGATCAAATTGAACCACAACATATACACTTATATAAACAAACTGTGTTATTTTTCCTTTAAATTATTAATAACAAACAATAAATGCATTGTTCCAGGAAATATCCATAGTCCCTCCAAGGATGGTATTTTCCTTGGGATGCCCCCACCATTCGGGAAATTCCACGTTAATTTCATACTTTTCTTTAAAAATCTTGGTTTTCAAACCCCCTCCCTTCAGAATTTTCCTTGGGGTTGGTGGGTATGTTTATTTTCTGGAACCACACAATCCAAATAAATTACACTAGCCTTTTGAGGGAGAAACTCCTGTATAAAAGTTACAGGGATTGCTTGTCTTCTAACTTATCAAGTTGTCTCATCTCAGTAAAGGCATAGAAATACACAGAATTTGATCTCACTTAATTGGTATGTTTATATTGGGGGTGGAAAGTCAGTAAATATAGAAATATCCATTTACAAAAGCCCTGCACATACTTTACTGCTAATAGTGTTGAAGTGGACTCCTCGAGGGGGTCAAAGAAAGTCTTTGGTACACTAAATTTTCTAATGAGCCGCCCTGTGCCTATTGTATAGAACCCCCCCACCGGCACACTAGCTACAAAGTTAAATAAAAGTTATGTCACTTACACAGTTGTTCCCTGTGATTCCCTGGTACCTCTATTTTGTGTTCCCAATAGAAACTTTAGCATGATTCATTGCATGCCCTCCAACAACAGTATTAATTTTTAATACAGACCTTTGTCGCAAGACTATATTGAAAAGGGATCGATGTCTTGTCGCGGTTCAAAAAAAAAAAAAAACTCTGGGGACGAGAACGCGTCCGGTGCAATTCCTGCATTTAGTTTGAACAGCGGTATCTGCAGGAATCGCACCGAGGTTCAGTCGGGTGTACGTGGACATTGAAGCTCTGTTTATGGCTTTTCTTCAATATGTAAGTGGTAAAATCTAAGATCAATGTGGATGCAGACAAAAGGTTTCATCTCAGAATCACTCAGTGAAGTTATCCGATTTGCGACAGTTGAACTTCAACTTCGATAAGACACTCTTAGTGAGTCAGCCGACTTCAAAAGAATACTGCACTGTTTGTCTTTGAGAAATATTTAATATTATATTGTATTTTCCTGTGGACTGTCTTTTTCGTGTAAAAACCATTACTCTTGAAACGGCTAACGTAACGAATTGTCACGTCATCGTCACTGAAATACTATTTTTATCTTCCAATCACAGGTCGGTGCAATTCCTGTATTTAGCTGCTAGTGCCGGTTGTGTTCGTTTATGAGTTTTTCCAGATCTCGTGCAGGCGTGCAAGTGAGTGATTGTCTAGACTACATATTTCCTAAGGCGTTTCTGAAATAGTAAGATGGCTTGTAGTCGTCGAGCCTTAAAATCGCTCATTGAAGGTCCAGAATTCAGCTTTCGTAACATTGTGAGGTCCTGCACTGCTCGCTTTTTCTGCGAACATCCATCGCCAAGGCTTTCAGCAAAGGCCGCAATACCTCCTTTCGGAGTTTTGCTCGATATCGATGGAGTTCTTGTTAGAGGCCGGAAACCTATTCCGGGAGCAAGGGAAGCCCTAGAAATGCTCCGACAGTCAGAAGTCCCAACGGTGTTTTTGACGAACGGTGGTTGTGAATCGGAGAAGGAAGCTGCTGAACGACTTTCTGACAAGATCGGCTTTGAGGTTAGGTAATTCCTTTTGTTCTAATTTTTAATTGTTCCCTTGGTAGCGGTTTCACAACAACTTAATTAAGGATTTATACTTCAATCCTAAACTTCCAAACTGTCTCAAACCTCTCCCCACCCTCCCCCTTGTTACCACATTCTTGTTTGCAACCACGTGACAGACCGAATACAAAAAGAGTTTAGTTGCGTTGTTCTTGTCAATCAAAGAGTGAGATGAAAATATTAAAAAATTGCTTGTCCTTTAGCCAAGCTGTTGCTGACGTTTACTAGCCTGGGGCAGTTGTGCAGGCCTACCAACCTCCACTTTTCCACTTATTCTATCTCAGAAAATGTTTCTTGCCTGTGAATATTTAAGAGATGCTAGCCTGACAGGTGGTTCCACTAGCCCTAGGCTTTTGGACAACACTTTTAATTTGTGGTGTCCTGAATCAACATGGCTATCAGACATCACATGCAAACCAGCAATTTCAACAGTTTAATGAGGCGTTTACACTGCATGCTGCATAAGGCTGTGCTCTAGCAGAGCCCGGTGACTCATGGTTCCTAACTTTTGTTCTTGGGGACTAGAAAATCTTAGCTTTTTCATAGAAATCATGTGGTGGGAACACTGGATTTCACAAGTTCAGAGCACTGGGCTCCCTTCAATTTTTCTTACAGCACAGCCTTGCTGCATACCAACATCTCTTATTTCCTTTGCTGTACACAACAGGTCCCAATTATTGTTTATAGGGTGAATAACGCTATCCACTGGTAAATTTTCTTTCCAGCAAATAATGCAATTGTTTCCCCCTAATCAGGGTTGTCACTAAGATTTCAAGTTGCCGGGTAAATACAACAAGTAGGCGGGGAATCAAACGGCTAGGCATTTCTTGCGGTTCTATTTTTCTTCTATTTTCCAATAAAAGTAGCTGGGGGCCACTCTCTTAGTAGCCGGGGAAAATCCCCGGCCCCCGGCTCTTAATGACAACCCTGCCCTAATACTCGCGGTATCTGCTGGATGGTCATTTATCCAGTGGATAGCATCATCCAACTTTTGAACAACAGGGGCTAGATGACTTTATCTGATGATTTGTTGTCAAACAGGAGCAGCCATCTGGTTGCATCAGCAAATTATGAGTGTTCTAAACATGACCAGTCAGTGATTTCATCATGATTTGTTACACCCGAGTCAGAGAAAATGAAATATCAATGTGCGCAATCGAATGTTGATGCACTTGTTTTGTCTAAATTCTAATAATTGAAGTGAAATAAAAAACTCTCTTCCCTAATTTCATGAGTTTACCCATTTGATTACCTAGTATCTTAAACTGGTGACAAATTGCGCTGACAATCATGGTTTTTTTACTTATTTATCATATTGAGAACTTCATGCACTAAAAACGTTTAGGGCATTAATTTTGGCTTAAGTTCACAAGTTTCTGAATTTTTTGACAAAATACCTGTTAGAATCCCTCTTGATGCACTCTTTTGTGTGTCTAAATTGTTTTTTAATGCCCTGACTTCTATATTCATAAAAGTTTTAAAACTTCAATGCCATCTTGCCAGAAAATTTTTCAGCTCACCCTGGATTCTGGGACCTTTCTTTAAATAAAGGAAATGCTTTTGCAGGCTACTATATCAATGTTTTAAAATAAGTTACCCTTGGTTACGATCTATTACAGTCGAACCTTCCGTCAGCAACCACCCAAACTGCAAAGACTGAGTGGTAGCTTACAGGAGGTGGTCGTTTACAAGAATTGAACCACAGGGGTTCATTCAGGCACATCTACTTTATGGAAGATAATTTATTGCTTGCAATGTCTAAGTTAGGATATGTGTAGTTCAATATTGTCACTAAAGTTCTTCGTATATTCTAAGTAATATAGTGCATGTACAGCAAAAATAGAGATCAGAGAAGGCATCAAGTGGTTGTTTATAAGAGATTAGAAGCAATGGAAAATCATTAACCATCAGGCCCAAAAAGTGGTCACGGTCGTTTAACGGAGGTGGTTGTTTACTAGAGGTTCCAACTATAAGGCTTTGACTGGGACAGTTTTGGTATTTTGGATAAGTGACCTATGGGAGGTGGTTCGACTGTATATCTATATAGAGAGGTACATGTTAAGTGGACAATAGACAATATAAACATGTAGGAATCAGTTATACTAATGGTTCTCTGATCAATCTATGTGTACAATTATGTTAAAGATCAAAATTAAATTCAGGTTGAAATTATTTTTTTTAACCTGGGGTGATTCTCAATTTCCTCTATCTTCTAGCCCTAATTATTCATGAATAAGAATCAACCTAGGTCAAAGAATTTTAACCTGGATTTAGTTTTGACCTGAAACATATAGTCTCTAAATCCTTTTGTTCATTGTTTTTTTTTTGGTTTGGAAGAAGCCAATAGCCTTCTATTCAGGAGTGTTTTACTGAGAACTAATGATAACTTCCCCACATGGTTTATTTTGTAGGTCAGAGAGGAGCAGATGGTTTTGTCACATACTCCTCTAAAGATGTTTGATTGGTTACATAACAAGCACGTGTTGGTGTCTGGACAGCTAAACATTAAAGAGATTGTTAAAGGGTATCCTTGTATATTCTACTGATTATATCAGAAAGATAACTTATTAAACTAAAGGCTGTTACTGGGTACTTAATCAAAAAAGTAAAAAACATCTGTAGGTGGATGCAAGTTCAAGAAAGCCTTTAACTAAATTTATTTTTAAAAAACAAATTAATTTTAAGTTGCTTATAAAATTATACCAGAAAAACATCAAAAGGCCTCTCCCTCTAATGATGACTTCTAGTGATTAGAACCATTATGAAATTTTTGTTACATTTATTTTGCTATGCCATAAACAATTTCCTGACAGTGTTTTAACATTCTTGTTAACAAAATTATCTATTTTCATGGATTTTTGTGGTAAAAAACTGTGTCCCCAATGAAAGTTTCTTCTCATACCCACCTGCTGAGCAATTAAAAGTCTGAAAACTCTGGATAAAAAATTACTTTATTAAAAGACATTTTATAATGTTTTTTGTTGTTGCTGTTGTTTTCTTTTTTATGGTAAAATAATGGAGCATTTTTAGGCTGATGGCAAAAAAGGTTTTACAGTTGACTCTCTCTTAATGGCCACCTCTAAAAGATAGACACTTTGGTAAAACAGACACCTAGAGTTGGTCCCTCCTTTTCTTTGCTGCCTTTATTTGACTTTCTAAAAGACAGACATCACTCTTAGACAGATACTTGGTGACAGTCCTAAAGGTGTCTGTCTTAGAGAGAGTTACATGTATATGTTCTGTTGTGGTGCAATTTTATCCTTGGTTTAAATTTTATTTTCCTTTATTTCAACTCATTATTGTACATTACCATGCCCTAAAGTAAAGGAAAATAAAATTTAAACCAAGGATAAAATTGAACCACAACATATATATATATATATGTTTTACCCCCAGGCATAGTCTTTATGTAGCCAGCAGTTTGAACTAATGATCTCCGGGTTGTTGAAACTTGAAACATAGATAACTAGCTGCTTCTGCACAATGTTTATGTGCCTTGTTTTCCCTTGATTATGAACAACAGATATGGATTTAGGAGTGTTTCAGATATAGAAGATATCAGAAGAGCTTATCCTTTGCTAGATATGGTTGACAGAGAGAGGAGATTTAAACCTGTGAGAGTGTAATCTTTTGTATTTTGTGACCTTTGGGGATTTTAATAATATTTAAATATTACGGTCCTCCAGTCTAAATGGTGTGGACCTATAATTTGTAGCTAGTATCTTGAGAATCTGCAACTTTTGATGTTTTTTTTTCTGTGGAAGTGCTTCCAATGATCTTCCTTTGTTTATGAGTGTTCATACGTGTAGCTGCATGCATGGAGAATTTTTTTCTTGATATATAACTGAACCTTTGATTACTGGACTTGTATGTAATGTGATTATCTGGAAAACATACATTACAATAGCAGTCTTAGACAATATTCACAAAAAATAAAACGGACAAAGACAAAACAAAAATCGTAAACTTGACCTGACCATTACATATTATAAATATAAGGTGCTGCCTGATAGCCCAAGGCTAGTGGATCAAGCAACATTTCAGGGCAGCATGTTTCAATTACCAGCTGTTCAATGGGCAAGTTAAGCAACATCATAGAAAAAATGCTAGTGAAAAGGGGAGTTGGATGGCTTGCACCACTTCTCCAGGCTACTAGTAAACTTCAGCAACAGCTTGCCCAAAAATTAATGGCAAGTGATTTTTTAAATTTTCATCTCATCCCAGTGAGGCATACTCATTTTTTCTTGAATTTTGTTTGCTGACTGTTTGAAAAAGTTTTTTTTCTTTTTGTTACCAGATTACCCAGTTTGTAAGACAAATGTCAAAACAAAAGATTTAACAGATTTGATTCAAATTATTATTGTGTAGTGGGAAATTATTATTTTTCTGTGATAATGTTTTCCTTTGCTTTCTGATTTATTCAGCTAGGTACCCCACCTGAGGAATTGCCACCCATTGAAGGTACGAATAGTTGGAATAATGGCCCTTCACCATGTTGGGTAGAAAAATACCTTTACGGTCTAGTCTAAATACAATGAACTGAATGCTTCTCTCTCAAGAAAAACTGCTGTTTGAATATTATTAATGTCAGTTCAAATATCCTTTTTGCCACATTTACGCATATTCAAACCATGGTGAGATCATGCAACTGACAAGTGAATAATATATAGTGAAAACTCTTGTAAGCAGGCACCCTTGGGACCTTAAAAAAGTGTTTATTACTGAAGCTGGCTGCTTACAAGAAGTGGCCAACTACAACTAAACACTGGAAATGTAAAAAAAAACCTGTTTGTTAGTGTTTGGCTATAACTGTTGTTCTGACAAGATTGTAGTTCAGTCACAAGCATGAAAGCAGTGTTTTGAAGTGTAACCAGATGTGTATGTATAATTATGTAGCAGCCTTATACGTAAACACAGCAGTGTCTTATAAATCAAACATAACAAAAATTTATTATTGCTGCCCTTATATTTCAATTCTATATTTATTTGAAAAGAGCATAAGCTGTGTTTCAGATTTCCTCAGAATTTTAGTGTGTGACATGGTTGCCATGCCAGGAAAAGAGGTTCTGCGATACATGTATTTCTAGTTTATTAAAATACAAAATTCAGAGGCATATGAGATTTCATTTCAGTTTTCCACTTTAGGGAACTTACAAAGAAAGCTAAAATCTTTCTCATAAACCCTGAAGTGTCCTCAGCCGCCTACGAAAATTGTCCCCTTGTGAGAATATGAAAAAGATGAGTTTGTATGGGAGTTGAAACAGGATTTTGTGAAGGCGGCCATAAGTATAGCTGTCTTCCTACGAGTGTCTGTTAAGAGAGCTTCCACTGTATTTTGTACTGTTCCGCTGTTAAGACAAATGCAACATGGTTGATGACTTCATCACATATTTCAGCAAAGTGGAAATCGTTTTTTAGCCATTCAAGTGTTTGCATTTGACCACAGAGCCTACAAAATTTAAGGGAGAATACTGCCATTTCCATAATGTGTGACAAAACTGCGAAATAAGTCTCATTGCAATAATAAAACCACAGGATCTTTCCTGTTTGCTTTCTTGTAGCCATACTCTTGCTTGGAGAACCAGTGCGATGGGAGACTCATCTTCAGTTGATCATTGACATCCTTGTCACTAATGGAAACCTGCTGTCAATTTCCCAGTCTCCCTGCAAGAAATGTATTCCAGTTATAGCAGCTAATACTGATCTTATCTATATGTCAGAAGTTCCTTTACCAAGGTATGATGATGTACTTAAACATATAACTATGAATTACCAGATTATAATGAGTTATAGGACTGTATGTAGTTTTAGACTGGTAGACTTCCCGTAGCTACGTACATGTATGGTTGTGAGGTGCAGACACTTGGAAAAATGACCTTTTAAAGAATTAGGCCCGGTTCAGACGCCGAACACTTCCCCTTACCCACCCCCCCTCCAAATTAAAGATGGGGAAATGGCATGTTTTGGCCTTTTGATTTTAGGGGAAAGTGGCATTTGCTCTTCTGTTTTATTCTGTCCAAACTTGTAGTGCCAATATTTTCCCTAATCTATAAAACATCATATATTGCACCAAATTATTGACTGTTTCAGACAACATTGCCAATTTGTCTGGTCCTGTGGGTGTGCGCCTACTGTTACAGAGGTTTAGACTAAATTATTGATACATACATTATTATACATTATTGATACATGTACAGAACACCGCTTGATTATTATAGCTGTGGTAAACTAGCCTGCATTCATATCCATTATATTATTATCTTATAGATTTGGACATGGAGCCTTTCTTTTAAACCTGGAGGTTCTTTACAAGGTACTAGACATATATAATATTATTTTCAAACTTAATAGTGTCCCACAATTGTTTAATAAGTGAAACAGTTGAGCCACTAATAATGGATTATAGCTTGCTTTAAACAGATTGAAGAGAAAAACTAATGCCTTGCATCCCTACTTAATTTTATAGGTTAATACCCCATTTTATTATTAGACAAAAGACATATATAGAAAAGCATAGCAGCAACTCACCTTTTTTACAGCTTGTGTACACTGATATGAAATATTTATGCTTCATTCTTCTGCATCATCCTGTTTGGTTTATAAAATGTTATTTAGGGGTTTTGTCTTTGGAATAGAGTAATACTTGATATTGTTTTTGTTTTTGTTGTTGTTTTTTTAATCAGAAATTGACAGGACGAGAATTGGTTTACACAGAATTTTTGGGTAAACCTTTCATTTCAAGTTACAAGTATGCAGAACATTGCCTCTATCAAAACAGTGGAAGTAGCCGTGGGCAAATAAAATCACTTTATGCTGTTGGGTAAGTAAAGAACAAGCTCAAGCGCAGAAGGCTTTACAACTTTTAGGTCAGTTATTGAAAATGAAGTCTAGCATACAGGACTGCTTTGAGAAAATCCCTGACCCCCAAGATTATGTTTTTGATATTTTAGGTAGGTAGAGACTGAGATAGATACATGTAGGTTTGGCATGGTGGTAGTATTATATAAGAAGAACTCAAATTAAGATTTATGGTACAAATGCTTGATAGTTGAACACTCACGACTCAATCTGTTAAGTGTTTCTTAGGGCTTCAGTATATTGGCTTTCAGCATTTGTGGGGCTTTTTTAAATCACAATGCCCAACTCCTCCCCCACCCCAAAAACAATGTTTGACACATGTATCCCAAAGTTTTCCCAAGTTCAAAAACTCATGTGGTTTCAACATTATTAAAGTGGGGAGGGGAGAAAGAACTGCAGGGCATTTTCCAATATAGAGCAATATTTTGTGGGGACACCAAAAAATTACAGATTATTACAAATATTGCTTCACTGATCCAAAGGCTTTTGTCCAATTTTGTGACCTACCACTGGTTTCACCATGAAATGACATGTGAGAAAAAAACGCAGAAATTTCATACTGATGCCAAGTGACTACCCAGATCTTGGTTGTGCTTCTGATTGACTGAAGCAAATTTCACACACTGTACGACCAATCAGAAGAATCACCCAGATGGATAGTGAAGTATCATCAGTATGGAATTTCTGCACTCATTTCTTAGGGGCCTTTTCGCAGGGGAGCCAGTGGTGACATCACGAAATGTCGCATGTTTTCTCAAGCTAGGATTGAAGTCACAATCCAGTCACTGTTCACCTGACCAAACAACCCTTAGCAGTTTTAAAACACCATTTGCATGATGAAATCATTTTACTACTGCAACCAGAATCCTTCAGGGTTATGCTTTCTTGTGCAAATTAGGTCTTTTGTTATTTAAACCTCGCTGGGATTAGAAAAATTAAATACAAAAGGAAAAACAAAAAGGATTGTGGCCGTACTAGAAAAACGACACCATCATGCAAATGGCCTATTATTTTATTGATCTCTAACATCTGCTTCTCGTTCTGTTAGTCAATAAACTGCGTTGCCCAAGTCTCTTTTGTTACGATGAACACTTACTATAGAAAATTTTGTCCATATTTTGCAGTGATAACTTGGACACAGATATTTATGGAGCCAATATGTGTAATGAGTATGTAAAGGCATTTCACGAATCCAATGGTTCAGGTACTGAAAATCAACTTAGAGACCTCACTAGTTGCCAGGAAAAACATAGTGCAGTTGAATGGTCACCAGAGGTAAAGAACATTGAGTCTATTTTAGTTCAAACTGGAGTATCTTTACCAAGTGATAATAATCTCACAACCAATGAAGGAGCTCGATATCTTCATCGGGATTTAGATTTTCAACCTCGATTCAGAAGAGCTAAACATGTTGTAGAAAACATTGCTGATGCAGTTGAACTGATCTTGAAAGAAGAACAAGAATGTTCCTAATACTTGATAAGTTCGTTTTGGAAATTGTACAGTCTGCAGTTTGCCCATCATTCTTCTGATTCTTTAATGGTTCCTGAGTATCTCAGTACACTAAAAACATCAGGTTATGATGTGGCATGAATGGAAAAAAACATTAGTTATCTAGATTCCTGGCTTGTATTATAAAAAAAATTAATAGGGAAGTATTTTCAAATTTTTTATCTTATTTTTATTGCACTGTCAAAATATACCCATTCATATTACAACAGTATTTATGATAATGTTATTGATGCTTCAGCACATACAAAATCAATGAGGTAGTTTTTCAAAGATTGTCTTTAATGTCAACTAACAACTCTAGATCATCCAGCAATAAGGAATTAATAATGTTATGAATTAAACTCAGTACAAGCATCTTGTAAAAGCCTAATTCCCCTGCTTTTTCACCCTTTTTTTTTGTTTGATGTTTTAACATAAGTCCTTTTTTTGTTTCTGCTATCTGTTCAATCTGAGATTATAAAATATTTAAGAGTTAGAGAAAAAAAAAACTTTTTTACCTCTCCCTCTTCTTTATTAATGAGAAATGTGGATGGCTTTTCACAACCTCATTCCCAGGTTCTCTCTCCTACCTGTCGATCTCTCTCACGCTCTGTAGGAACAGGTAGGAAAGAACCCTGGGAACGTGGTTGGGCTTTTCATACCTTTGATCTGCAACTGTTACAGTGAAAAAATATCACCAATAACATAACTAAGGCAATGGTCAAGCAAATGTAGCTGAATTATTGAAGATTTTATAGGATAGATGTAGTCAAACCTTGGACAGTTGACTGTGTTGCTGGGGAAAGAAACTCATACATTTTCCCTAAATTCAACCCGCTTTATGTGGATACCCTGTTAATATGGACACTTTCTATGGCCCCATCAGTGTCCGTATTGTATTTTAAATGACAACTTACCAATGATAATCTCCTTTGCTAAAGAATAGAACTCAATAATAAGTTAGTAATCAAAGTAATAATTAAAATCTAATCTTATTATTTTATTATGCAGTAATTGAGTGATCAAATTTTGTTTGTTTATAGCAGCCATAAAAATAATTAATTTTTAAGTTGATTTGATGTTTAATAATAAAAAAAAGGATCTAGTCAAACCTCACCCAGACTAGTAGCCCGTCATGAAATTAGCTTGCCTCACTAACCTTGAGGAAAATGTGAGACTACTCGCAGTCTAAACGATTGAGATACCTCTTTAGTATGGATGGCTCTCTTTGTTCCAAAGTTTCCAAACTTCATACAATTCCTACCTCTTTAACACAGTCACATCTGTAATGCCAACACTTAGCTCTGCCCTGTTTATGAACGTATTTTTACCTTTACCAAGAGTTATCCCTGCATCTTATGTCTTACTGTAACATTGCTTAAATAACTTGCTAAGGACATGAGACTTTCGGAAATGATTGCCTAGTTAAAAGAGTCTTGATTGTTAAGCAAGTTCTCTTCATAGCTGCAATAGCTGCTTTATGGAGGATAGTTGGGAGAATATGCCTGCTGATATTGGGTTTCAGAGAATTCTCTCACAGAGACCCACAGAGGAGGGTATAATAGAAGTGAAGTAAAGGGCTTGTATGAATGGTGACTCCACAGGATTTTATCTCAAGTTATGTCTTAAGTATTGATCTCCGAAATGAAAAAATGATATTATTTTCTCTAACTTATGTAATATTATTATTGTAATGGAAAACATTTTGTCATAATCTACCGTAAATTTTAGCATCATTGCTCTTTGCTACTCAGTAATGTATGATTGTATTGGTTGTCAGTTGTAATAATTAGTATCGACAAGTGACATTATTGTCTTCCTTCTGGTAGGATTGTGTGAATAAAGTATTGTTTCTAACTGGAACAGCTGCTAGCTACAACCGGCTCCAGGATAAAATCTGCTGCATCATATGGACCAAAAACTAACAATCAGAGAAAGAACACTTGGGACTTTGACAAAACCCAGCCCATTGTTCCATTTTGGTCTTGATAAAAACAACTGAGAACAACACATTTGTTCAGGAACAAACTATTTCATTACCGGGGAAAGCGTTGGGGACTTACCAAAACAAACTTCCTTTGTTTTTTTTAATATGACTATCACAAAGCCAAAAGAAGAAATATCTATTTTTGAAACTCAAGCTATTGAAGAGAATTCCTGCAAAATAAATCGCACACTGTCACACCCGCGCCTTGACAGAAATAGAATGATCTTCCTCCCCAAAATAGAAGGGCTGGGCCTTTCTAAGATAAACAAACCTCAGTTTCCTTCGCAGCCGTGATGTCCTTTCTGAAGATTTGCGTGACAATGGAGATTTGGAGGAATTCGACATGCATGCAATGGCTCGTTGCGTGACAACCCACTAGAACAAGACAGTCTCAGACATCTCTCAAAAAATCGGGTGAAAATTGGATTTCTTTTGTCAACAAGTATGCACGTAACAGCAAAAGATCTCTGAGCCCATAGCACTTTGTTTCTGGTCGAGGTGATTTATCTAGCACGTTTTTATTGCTGTAACTTTTAGATCACTTCGTGGGTGGGTCTTGTATCATTTAAGACTAAACATAAACATAAAAACCTGCTAACAGGCTTTTATTCTTTTTTCTTTTCTTTTTTTTTTTTCCTTGGTTGTCTGGCGCTATCTTTTTTTTTTGGTGTCTGCCGGGACGTCTCAGACAAAAGCCACCTTATTAACTTCTTATCTTGATATTTAAAAACCAAATTTCTGTCATCGCTCGTGTCTTAGACTCAGCTGTGAAGGGGTTTAGTCTCGTCCAGCTTGCATCCACTTCACAGCTCCTGTATCAAATCTTTTTTTTTTTTTGCCCTTCACACCCATGAAACCTTTTTTTCTCCGTTTTCATCAAGCTTTCTTTTCGTAACCTTGTGTGGCTGAATGAAATGCTTGGCATTTTAAGTTACAGAACGTTCAGTGCAACAAAGCACGCATGAAGCTTATCAACAAGACAGTCAAATCTTGGGTTTGTATAATGCACTTAAGACCTTTTTGTGTCAAGATATAATTATGCGGTTTTGAGTATAAATATGTGACCTTTCAAGTAAATCTACTGAGTTGGTTTACCGCGATGTTCTATGGCTAGTTCTTATAACTCGTGGCTTTGTTACTTTTTCGATTGTAGAGCAAATGGAATGCGAAGTGAATGCGGATCGCTGTTAAAACTCAGCTATTCGTGCGTGCACACCTGTGTCGTATAGCTCGTCCTTGTAGACGCCCAAAGCGATGTATGTACGTGGTGCGCGTGCATCTCAGGCAAAACCTTCTGCATGCCTCAAACCTCCTACAAAAACGACGACATTGAGTTTCTCGATGAGTTGACCGTTACCTGTGGCGTACTGATCTATACTAGCTGTGCGCCTCGTACGCCAGTAAGCGTAACGTTGCGTGCAGGTAGGATGGGTAGGTGTGTCCACTTGCCACGCGACAAAGCCATTGGGAACAACACACCCTTAAAAGCGTAACAAAAATTGTTTTCACTATTGTATCGAAATCTTTACATAAAACAGTGCCAGAAGAAAATGAGAGAGGCTGTACATCTGAAGGACTTAAATTTTTGAACTCGCGCTTACAATCTTATAGGTACAGTCCTAGCGCTCGTTGATCAAACCACCGATTTTGGCACTTTGACAATTTCTTCGCGTGGCGTCGGTTTTGTGCGCGTATAGCTAGTGCGTTTACACCGTACTTAGTTAAATTGAGTTGCTATTTATATCGGGGGTGAAGTATTGCTGTCAGCAGAGAGGGTTTTATCAGTTGATAAAGAAAGGTTTAACAAAGGTTACAGTTGGAAAAGATTAGCAAACCCTTGCGACTGCGGAACGGTAGATTAATATTGCATTTTTGCAAATGGAAGTGAAAAGCTTTGACCTAAAGAATTTAGTTCAAGAGGCCAGTAACAAAACATTTTCTACCGAGAAAAGGTTAATTGCCTAAACCACCAAACTCCGTGGGTGTTTAGTGGTTACTTTTCGTTTGATCGTGATTGGACGTCAAAAGAATGCTGGCGCGTGCTAGCTACTGATGGATATCGTTTCTTCCACGTGTACTTTCATACATGATCGCGTTTGTAAGCTTGCAGTGTCGACAAACACCTTTGTATCTGTCGCACTAGGAGCGAATTACTTTTTTGCGGTTTGTTTGCCTAGTCGCCGACACAAAAGCTCGCTATAGTTTCTCTCTACGTACCGACATACGCCAGGTGAATATCCGTAAATATACGATGGCACCCCGGTTGCTACGGTGTTTGTAACCTGCTAGGTAATAATGATAAACAAGTAGGCGTGATCGGTGTTGGAGCCTTTCCCTGGGTCATAAAGGCACAGTCGATTTCTTCACCAGCATCGGTAACGCTTAATATTTTAAAAGTCTGCTCTTGATCTCAATTCCCTCTGCTTTGGCTTAACTGTAGATCCAGTTATTTGAAATCCAGTGCTGCGTTGGGTAACTAAACCCATTTTAAAATTTGCTTTTGTGTTTCCACCCTAGCGGGGGTTGCCGGCGTTTCACGCATTCATTATAGGTGTTGTCAATCTTGTTTACCGAGCAACCTGCTTGAAAAAAAAAAAACCGCGCAATGTTCTTAAGATGTTCCGCTTCAGCCTGTCCGCCTTCTTAACGGATGTTCAATAATGGATAGAGAAGAACGAAACAGAGGAAATTTGAATTTCCGACTGTTCGACCCAAGCCACTTGAAAGGTCGCGAAGATGGCAGAAGAAAAACTTCTGTGTTTGTCCATCCAAGCACGTGTACCTTTTGGTTATTTAAGTGCGCGAGCCAATAGGCGCCTTGAAATTAGCATTAATTAGCTTAGCAGGGTTTTCTTAGCCACGCCTCCTCCAGCGCGGAAACGGTTCTTTTGTTGTCATTGAACGGAAACAAAACCCACTTTCAACTTGGCCCAGCTGTTACCGTCACTCAGAAAATATTCAAACTTAGGTGATACTCTCAGGGATCGCTCATAATCTTCTGCGCTGGTTTGCGGCAGCATCGATCTCGAACGCAACTACGTTCATCGGGCTTTAGCCCCCATCTGATTCATTCTACCCATTTCTTTGGCTCGTTGTGAAGTCGTTCCTGTCTTTAAAGAGCGGGAGTCGCCGAAAGGAAGAAAGTTCGCCGGAAATTTTCTGGGGTTGCGTGCGTCCGTCTGTACAACTAAAAGCACGGATTTGAAATGGCTGCACAAGCGTTCTTTTCTCCGAGCGTCGCGCTGGATACTCTTTCGGCCGCGCGGTGTTTGTTAGACATGTCAAAAATTTTTCCGAAGAAGCCCGCGCCGGCGTTCGTTGAAAACGCTTCCAGTTCGCCTCTGTTGATGTTTGCGAAAATCTTGGCGTCGATGGAGGAGGAGTGTTTCATGCTGGAAAAACATTCATGTGTCACGAATAAAACTAAGCCGGTGTGGAACTCAAAAGGAGGTGCACAGTTCAAGAATATTGAGCGGGAAAAATGCCCGAAGGCTGTAACTCCAATGGAAACAGAAACCGCTGGCGTTACCCGACACGATTCTTATGACGACACACCCTCTGAACTTAGCTCAAAGCCAAAACAAAAACCCCGGCGTCGGAACACGCGACGAAAAGCCGAGCAGGAGAAGAAAATACACGCCTGCCACTACACTGGCTGCGATAAAAAGTACGGAAAAAGTAGCCATCTCAAAGCGCATCTTCGTACGCACACAGGAGAGCGCCCGTTCCAGTGTAATTGGACCGGCTGCGAGAAAAAGTTCGCTCGCTCCGACGAACTCGCTCGCCATTACCGTACTCACACCGGCGAAAAACGTTATGTGTGTACAATATGTAGCAAGCGCTTTATGAGAAGCGACCATCTTTCGAAGCACGCGAAAACGCACGGACTGAAGTCGAGGAAAGAGCTCAACAGGCCTACGAACCCAATGTTCTTTTGAAGCCAAGCGCGTTGATTGCGCGTGTATTGGAACTTGAAACGCGACCTTCGGAAGGTCGCGCGAGATTGCAATTGACGCAATTGCGTGCAATCTCAAAGTTAGTGACTTGGAGTCTTGGTCAGTGTTTCAGCGGGGGAACGATAAGATTGGAAATACGACCACTGGGGGACATTTTACCGAGTTAAATATAGATCACGAATTATTGTTATCCTAGCTTTTGGTATCTTATGTTACGCTTTATTCCCCGATTTTATTGACATACACGAATGCCCGATCAACCATCAGACGCCACAAATATCGTGCGCTATCTACAATAGCTTTTTAATTTTATATTTTGTCAAATCATTGGTGATCTAGTCGCACCTTACCGGCAATTTTAATCATTACAGAATATAAATAAGCATCTTAGAATTCAGAGGAAATGGCTTTTGTAAATTAAAAGAAATCTGTCGTATAAAGGCAAGTTTTTGAATTAGGCTGTCAATGAATTCAGCTGGTCTGAATATATTTTTTTTGCTATATCGCTTTAATATGAAATGTGAAATAGAAAATAGAATACACCCACTTTAGAAAAATCTCGTCTGTAATAAAAATTGGATAAGTTTACCGTTTTAGTACTGTTTACATTCTTTTTTCTGTTTGTTGCGTAATAACACGCGCGTCCGATCGAATCCATAAACCTTTTTTTGAAATAAAAGTTTTTGATCACAGTTTCCGCTGGGTAAACTATTCTATTCGGTCCATGAACGCGACGACCCGCTTCGATCAAAGCACACCGTATATTTCTCTACTATTCAAATTTCATGCAAGCAGCACTTGAACCCCTTGTGCCTATACGTCCGCTACTGTGTCGCATGACATGTGTATGTAGCCTGAAGCATAGCTGACGATATGTTCAATTCAATTCAGCCCCGCGCTCGACACGCAACGCAAATCATCGTTTTAAAATGTCAAGGGCAACTAAGCACGCGGGCGCGAAGACATTTCCATAAGCAAACAAGTTTAATATAATGGCAACTGGCAGCTGAATAATATCTTGATCAGAATTAAATCCGCCCGCGGCTCTATGAGGCAATACTCTAACGTAAACCTCCTCCACAATTTACGCATTTCGTACTCTCATGTTGAGAGTGTACCCCTTTTTAAGCTTGCTGTATTGGTCGATTTGACGGTATTTTGTCTCGTCAGTACGCAATGAACAAAAGAATGCTTTTCTTTATTTGTATTTTGCTTTCTCAGACTTTTATTTTTTTTATTACTATTTTTTTTTACACAAACTGATCAGCCAAACAATTTCGTCGTCGGATGGGAGTGGATCATGAATTTCGCTGGATATGATTGATCAAGTATACTTTTTCTTTAGTCTTCTTTGAGATTTATCATGTTACTTTTTTAAGTAAAAAAATTATAATAAATGATAAATTCCATTCCCCTGCTGAGCTAAACAATGCGAAACTGTGAGAAAATTTTGGTTTTGAAAAAACTACTCCCAAGAATAGATTCTGTTTTATTACCCTCATACATAGCTATAGGTTCTTTGGTGAACATTATTGTTTCGTTGAAAACTTGTCAAAGATTCTCAATGTTTCTTGCATTAATTCCCCGCACAGCTACCGTTTCGGATCAAAAGGATAGACAAAACTCAATATTCAAAATAGGAGATAAAACTTCTATGTTGTGTAAGGCCATGACGCCTTACATGGTTCATAAAATAAAGAGGATGGTCACTTGAATCTTACTTAAACCTTTTTTTTATTTCTTGCAAATATTTCAATCGCCAACATTTAATTTTCTTTATTCAAGTTTATCCACTAAGCTTCATTCCGATGCGTAGAAATTGTAGGAGGCCGTGTCCTTTGTATCTTTAAAACCCTTTTCTTTATATTGCTCGATTGTGGCTCCAGCTGCCACGCGTCAACAGCCTTTATCGTTTCAAATCCGCTTTGTATATCCATACATCTATTATTCAAATAAGAGAACTTTGTCCTCTATGTGATTGTTATGAAATCGTCTTGACAAGAATTTTCAGTTCACTAATATAAAAACCACGTGTTTGGACAAGCTGCCGCTATGGTGCTTCTCACACTTGCAGTTTTCGTCGGCTTCCGGCGTGGAAAAATTCATGAAAGAGGGTGTGAAAGTCTTCTTTTCTCCTTAGTGCTTTCTTAGGTACCAGTTTCCAACTGAATTGTTAAGCCACCTGGATTTCTATAGTCAAGACCAACTGAACAAGTCAAACAGTGGGAGGGACCAAAATTAGCAATTAGCAAGTCGTATTGTGAAATAAGTGTATATGTCTACGGGTACTTTTCGCCAGAGAGTGCATTGAAAAAACAAAAGTCGATTTAGCCCCCTTTTGCATTTTTTTTTAGAATAACCAAATACCGCGTCTTTCATTTGTTTAACAACCGTTGCCGTACCTTTGGCTTATGTGGTTTCGCAGTGCAGTGCTAGTATTCGAGTTATGATAATTCCCTCCCTTTTATTGCTATTTGATTCGCCGGGTTTGATTCCTGCCCTCTTAATCTTTCTTTTATTTCGACGGGCATTGTGTGGGACTCTTTCTTCACAAGAGACAAACCTTACAATGACTTGGAAGGTACCTTGGCTTGCAACTCACTGTTATCAGTAGTTGACAATGAATCTTGTTCTCTTGAGCTTTCACGACACACTAGCCACTGGGTTGTTTAAAACTCAAATGGTACCGGCGTTATAAAGGAAGCCTCGATTCACATTCGCAATTTTATAAAGACGTGCACTTCCGTTCAGAAAGCTTTGAAACTGAATTATTATTTGGAACGGTAACGACTTTTGCAAGCTTGACTTAAGTCTTTTTTTATAGCAATTTTTAAAAATAACCGAAATGATGTGAATATCACTGATTAGCCAATAAAATATCGATTAAGTTTGCTAATGAGGGCAAAATTATGGCCCGTACCGCCCGCTGTTAACGTATGTTAAGTAAAAAGTCACGTCTTTACGAGTGCATTTACAATAGATTGACCGCAGCCATTTTTATTAACTACCCTTTTCTCGAATTCTGCTCTATTTCGTTTTTGAGTGATTGCTTCGCGCGAGATTGAATTCCTTTGTTATTCAAAGTTCAAGGTCGTCTGCTTGTTTTGGTAAACAGAGATGAGCCGGCGCTTTTCGATCGTATGGAAATCGCTGTTTTTGCAGGTGCAAAGACAATAACCCATTTATCATTTTTGTCATTAGTATATTTTATTTACTTTCTTTCGTTTTTCTTTTATTTATGTATTTTTTTGTACACTGATTCTCTTCATTGTTTCCTCGCTTCTTTTTCGATTTCTTATAGCTTCGTGAGGCTTTTTTCACTCTTTTTATGACTTCCTGGTTACACATTTTTATCCCCGTTGACCCGAAACGAAATTCTCGGAATCTCGCGCGCGTTAAGGCTGACGTTCACGCGTGTTGACCGCGAATGGGTGATATCTGTTTCATTCCCTTGCATCTTTTTCTCCTTTTAATTTTCTCATGCTTGAAAAAAATTCTTGTCCGCCAGGAAACTTGGTTAACAAATACTCTGTTTTCGCCGTTTAATCTGAAACGGCGGTCATAGGTAATTACACAACCAAAGAGCATTTTTTCTATTTTTTTTTTTTTTTTACAATATTATCCAGGGGCATCCAATTTAGCAGAGCTGGTTTAAATGGAGCCCTGACAAAACACAAAAACAAAGACATTGAAACATTAAAAATAGAAAATTAATTAAGTTACAAAGGCATCATGTACCGCGGGCGTTACTGTTTAAAATGGCGCTTAAGCTTGATTTTAAATTCGCTCAGCGTCTCTACTTATCTAATGATTCTGGGCAGGGTGTTGTAGGTCCGAGCACCGTTTATTCTGAAGCTACCTTGGTGTTTAGTAGTTTTTGCGAAGGGAGGGCGCAGCAAATCACGGCTTCTGGTGTTATAGCCATCAGGGCGGATAAGGTGCGCGTGCCTAAACTCTGTAAGTAAGTACGACGGAGCCATTCCGTGAAGACACTTAAGGACAAAGACGTATTTGAGATAATTTCTGCGTACTTGTAGGCTGGGCCAGACAAAAGTTGATTTTTACTCCTCAGCCCCGATAGATCGACCTTCAATAATACATGCGGCGCGTCTATTTAGCTTATCTAGATAAGCCCTTTGCTCCCAACCCCACAACTGTCCCAGACAGGCGAACGGTATTCGAACAATGGTAAGACTATAGTATTGTAAAGTGTCTGACAAGTTGGCTTGGGAAGAACCTTACGCGCTAGACGCAGAATACCTAATCTAGACGAGATTTTATTACCGATATATTCTATGTGGTCCTTCCAAGAACCAAGATAGGGTGTTGACTAGGAGCACCCCAGGATGTTTAAACTTGTTTACTCTTTCTAAACTCGTGTTACTAATTTCTATAACTAGATCGTCAACCTCCGCGATCCTCTGATGGGTGCACACAAGCACAATCTTCGTTTTTTCAAGATTAAATATTACAAATTAGCGTGAAGCCAGCTTAGGACATTAGTTAGGACACTGAAGGATTACCGGACGCAATATAGCGAATGAAACCAACTGGAGAGCCAACGACGGGGGCCGAGTAGAGAGGACCCTGGAAACGAGGTTGCTGGAGAGCGGGCCAATTGCTAGTTTCTGATACAGCTATTTCGCTGAAAGTGCACGCGACAATCCCGAAAGGTATTGTGGGTGGTTTTGAGGCCGGGACAAGAATGGGGACAAGTCAAATTGAGGTTCCGCCTTCTCAGTTCTTTGTTTTTTGACAGGATTGACAGAAACTTAAGCGATAATCAAATGTCAATCAATGTCATCAATATCTATCGTCTTCCCATGCGAAGACTTTGAACATTTTTTTACAGAGACAAAAAGAAAATTACCCTGGAGGAGGAGCGAGAAGGACCATCAAAAAAATCCTTTTACTCAGCGACAAAGTGTACCAAAAAATATCGCTAGGTTTATTAAACGAGTAAAAACGTTGTGCTCTTAGATCGGCCAAAACTCGCTTGCAACTGGACGGACTCAGTGCTAGGGAGTGCTAAAAGCGCAGGTGACTTATTAAAGAAGCAAACTGCCCGTTCTAATGAGGTGTCCGTATTAAGCGGGTGTCCGTAAAGTTGGGGTGGACTCACTGTATTTCGTATAAAACGGGCGAGAAATCGAACAAGACACTTTTTAATACAAAGCGCGACACGGTTTATTTCAAACTGCGACATGCAGGTATTCCAGAGTGAGATGATCATTGTACGTTGCGACAGCCGTACAGAGATCTGTACACGCCTCTTCAATGGTAGCTGCATGCTATACATTCAGTTAGTTGCACCCCGCTTATCATTTTCTCCTGGTCCCTAATATCCAGGGAACAAAAAATTGAACTAGGGTTGCCTAATTTTGTACAGGAAAAATAGCATTTTAGGTGCTAATCCTAGGAGGTTTTTGCTACTTCCTCTAGTGTATGAACACCTGTTCAAAGGCCCAGAACCTTCCGATATATGAGAAGATCCGCTTACCAGATCGACGCGGCGCGGCGCAGCTTCGCAACATTACAGAAACCGCGTCGAAATCGCTGTTTTCATGCGTGAACAGATGTCCTATTCGATATGGTTTTGGTGCTGACGCAGTTTTAGCCTTGGTACGTACCAACCGGCATTCGACTGGAGCATATAGGAAGCATGAAATATCAGACGGTGTCTTACGCATGCCCACAGCCTTGTCCTCCCCCAGCCCCTGCGTCAGTGACAGCTATGAACAAACAGCTGATTTGCCCTCATTTTAGGCTGTGTACAGACCTCCCTCCCCTCAGTGAAAATCGGAGAAGGGGCCCCTTCTCCGATTTTTACTGAGGGGAGGGGGTTGTTCACAGGCTACCCTCATTTGGCCAGCTGAAATATTGTTATGAAAAAAACAATACACGTTGTTCTAAATCAGCTTTGCAGTAGTCTTTGGACTTCTCGTTTTTGGTTCTTTATATTTTGGCTGATTAGATCTCTTTTCTAGAGATCCAACGTTTACAACTAGCAGGATCTTCGTCCACGGTTTTTGCAGTTAATTTTACCCTCAACTGGGCTCATCAGCATGCCATAGCCGTCAGGCACAGGTACCTGCAAGAGCAAAGGCCGTGCTTTGGTGCCCTTGCAGCCGACTGGAGGCATGTTACACGTGCTACGCGAAACACCCACGAAGAGACTTTGCAGCGGTCTAGCTCGCGAAACTAGACTAATAGACGCATCTCCGGAAATGAAGATTGGTTATTTGCTTATATCGACGAAACCAGAAGACAATTTTTCGGATTTCATTAAATCCGGATTGATATTTGCTAACCGGAAAATTGCACTTGAAATACAAAATCATTTACATGAAACTTCCTCTGTTATAGCCAAAGGGAGGAGGCAGAGCTATTAAAAATGTTACGGAGTGTCTGCCTGAACCCGGACGATCATGAATCATGATAAATTCTTGCCTCGAAAAACTACGTTTGTTGTGTCATTCTAACAGCACGAACTGACCAGCCACAGGGAATGGTTGGCTGAGAATTGAATTGCTTTATTTTTCTTCGGCTGGTTGACGTGATTAGACACGAACCTTTCCGTTTCCGTTTGTGTCGAGTCTGATGTTGTGTTTCAGGGCTAGCTTACGTGCTGACGGGCGTCACGTCAATGCAAATCAAGTTTCAAAAGAGGAAGTACATGGATATACGAGATGTCAACAGGAAGTCTTAAATCACACATACAGCATTACTTTCTAACGAAGCAAATCCGGGAACTGTCTATCAATGTCAAAATATCTCCGGGTTCAGTCAGTATACTGGCTTGCAAATCACAGCCAGAGAGAAGTGAAGTGCTTCATAATACTGAAGCTAGACTTCGAGGATGATTTCAAATATTCTTAAAAGCTAGAGGAAAGCATTTGAAACGGGCCAGCGACGAACACGCGAGAACAGCTGAATCGCTAACAATTAGTGCCAATAAAACCGTAGCCTGCGTAGGAGGCGCTTGGAAGTAATGGGCGCCATTAGCAAGTCAAGAAAGAATGTGGTGCGCGAGGGAGACACGCGGAGAAGGAGGGTATGATCGCAGGCTATTTCAGTGAATTTTTTTTCTACTCTCGCGTGTCCCGTTCTTTCTTGCGCCCATTACTTTCAAGCGCCTGCTACTCGGGCTAATAAAACCGTTGTGTTCAGGGAAAATGGTTTGTGTTATAAAAGCGTGTGTGTAGATAAAGTTTCAAACGAGGAAGCATTTTTGCTTCTGTTTTCGAAGCAAGAACCAACGTTATAGAATAGAAGGACCGGATCCTAATAGAGGATCTAATACGCTACAAGACCCTGAAGAAGAAACGCGGTGCTTTTCGAAATATTGGTAACACAAAAAATATATGTTCCCGACTGTAAAATCAGCCTTGCTTCTGTTAAAAGAAGCAGTACTTGGAAATTGTCTATCATATCTGCTAGATAAGTTTAGGAGAAAGTAATTTTGCTGTTAAAAGAAATACGTTTGCAGGAAGTCTGCTGATAGTGTATTCAATATAAAAGACGCGTACCTTGGTTAAAATCAAAATCGCTGGATTGGATAACACGGCGCGGTAACGGTCAACATTACTGAAACGGGAGTGGACTGGGGCAAGTAAGGAAGTACTGGCCGACCGGATAGGTTTTTGGGGGCAGTTTTCGGCAGGTGATAGGCTCCTGTTTTCGCTGAAAACTTACCACTGCTTTGCATAATCATATAGACTAGTCTGATCTGGATGGACAGTTCTGATTAATAGTGGATTCCTCTTCACGAATCTACTGGTCTGCTGGATGCTGATGTGCAACCCTAGTTTTGCCGCACAACAAGAATCTGCAGTGCGAGCAGATAAAAGTATTACCGTTATGAAAGCGTCAATGATGTATATAAAGTTTCAAAAAAGGAAATATTTTTAATGTTAACAAACGTCCACATCAAGTCTAACATCGTCCCGGTCTCAGTATTTCCCATGGGCGGATTTAGCGGTTGGCCAAGTGTACCCCGCCCTCCACAACCCCTCTCATGTGAAATTTTGTATTATTTTCTAAGAATTCTCAGAATTAGCTGGCAAGCGTCCCGGCCGCCCCTTTCTGAATTTTCTGGATCCGCCCCTGTTTCCTAGAGGAAGCTGTATTAAAAGACGAGTCTATCAAATTACGTCATCTCAGGGTTCAGTTTGCGTTGACCTGTTTCTGGCTTTCATATTCATGCAAAGAAAGCGGAAATAAGATGGAGAGCGATATTAAGCCAGCAACTTGAAATTTCATCGAGGAAAGGCGGAAATGATGGAACACACGGAACAGTGTAGAACTGGGGCATGTTATCACCAGTGGCCTTCGAATACAGCCGTCTCTCTTCGCTCGTTGCCAAGGAATATAGAAACAGAATAATTCAAAAAACTCCCTATTCATTCAAAATATTCACCCGTTTGTAAACCCCCCAGCTAATTCTGCAAGCGACGACCAAGTTTGGAAGAAGTTTGTCGACATCAATAGAATTGACGTCAATTGTACAGTTATTAACAGAAAGAAGAGACAACAGGAGGCATGGTAACTCAGTGATTTTGACCAAATTTGGAAGAAAAAAGACGATATCAATACAATTGACGTCAATTGTACAGTTATACGCCACTTGCACATCTCCCATAATGCAACTTATTTGCCCCCCAAATTTTGCATAATCATTGTTTTCAATTTCTCTTGGGACGGCTGTAATACCCAGGAGAGATGAAAAACAAAGGTTATGCAAAATTTTGAGGGGCAAATAAGGTGCATTATGAGAGATGTATAAATAAAAAATAAATTATAATTCCACTGTGGAAAGAGGTTTAACATGAAATTGCTCTTCGCTCCTTTAGTGCTTTCCAATATAGTTCAAGCCTTCAAACAAGCTCCCGGAAGAGGACTGAGATTCGTCGTTTTTCCACGCGTTTCTCCTGTGCCAAAATCGCCGCGCTACCATGCGTTTTGGCGTCCTCCTAATAACTGTACAAAAAGACCATTGTTGATATATTAAAATTCATACTTGGCTCCGAGGCTTGGGGGAATAAATATATGTATTATTCATTGTCGAGCCTCAAGCCTCGCAACCAAGTATGAATTCTGATATATCGGAATTGGTCTATTTGGTCAAATCCGCTTAGCTACCATGCCTTCTGCTGGTAATGGTTGTCATGAAAGTAAGAATTCATTGAACTGCTCCCAAACAAATTGCGATAAGATTAATACGCATTGGTATCTTGATTTTACATCCAAATATTGTTCCACTCTGTTCTCTGTAAAGTTGTTCAAATACTATTGGAATCATAACACAGCAACAGAATTCTACGAGTAACAGGTCTATAATCGATACATCTAGTAGTTCCACCTTCAAAAATTTAACATCTAATTTCAAGCTTGATGTTTCCTTCACAAATAAGAAATTTCAAAGCTCTCAGTCATCAACCGATAAATGCAATAAATACTATTCAATAAATTAACCATGCTTGTTAAACTATTTTCCCTTGTACAATAATTATATTATTTTCTCCTAATCTGATGGTACTTTTCTGTAAGCAACCTGCCCTTATGCGTGTTTACGTCAGACGAGCAAATTTCACCACCAAGTCTCGTTTGTGAACAAAATTCTTTGCATTGGCATTCTATGTGCATGAGTATTCTTCTCAAAACAACTATCGTGGGAATTCATTTACGTAAAACGTCGCAAATTAAAATTCTCAATATAAGGCTTGGTGGTGAAATTTGCCTGTCCTCTAGTAAACATGCATAAGTGTTTTGAACTATCGAACGAATTAAGTAGAAAAGTATTTGCCATTTTCACATCGCCCATAACACACCTCATTTAGGGTCTGTTTACATGGAGGTGGGGGACCCCAGGTAGGTGAGGTAGCACGCTTTTATAGGTGGGGTAAACCGCCTGTCCTTATAATCTCTTATACGGTCACCTAACCTATCATGTAAACGCGATCAAATTAAAATGAGAGATTATATGAACAGGTGGGTCCCCCCCCCACCTCCATCTAATCAGGCCCTTACCCCCAAAATTTTGCATTAATGTTGGCTTCAGTTCTCTTGGGACGACTGTGAATAACCGAGATAAATGGAAAATAATGGTAATGTTTTTTTTGGAGTGGGGGGTGCGGGAGGGGTAAACGAGGTGTATAGTGGGCAAAGTGAAAGTGGTGAATTAAAAATCATTGAAATAGGCCATTTGCACTAAGAGGTCAGGTGACATCATTTTTATTAAAATGAAAATTATATGATTTTGCCTTCAAAAAACGATTAGTGAGTCATTTCTCAAACAAAATAATATTGATTTAGTTTTCCAAACTTGCACTTTAAAATGTGTAAGTTTGTAGCTGGTCACGTGACCAAAATGTGATTTTTAAAACTATGAATTACCTCTTTCTGAACAGAAATTTTGCACTTAAACTTTCAGGAAATTCTTGAAAAGATAATGTGGTAACGTTTACAGCACATCTGAGTGTAGCTATCAAATGTTTAACAAGTTACAAGCAAAAAGTAGTTTTCGCTGAGGGCAATACAAATCATACTACTTTGTTGAAAAATCAAAGTGCCATAAAATACCTCCCTTAAATGCGTTTTCTCTCAAATTTCGGGTGAAAGATAATTTTTATGTGCTCTGCCAATTTTTGTCGTCAACAGGATTCCAAGTCATTGTTTAAAGGAAGCATTGGTCTCGTGACCTCTAGTGCAAGTGGCCTATAGCCTGCAATCACGCCCTCCCTTTAACTCTTCTCAAAAGCTAAGGTAAAAAAAAATGCATGATTGCAGTTCCCTAGTTAATGGGAACATTATTTTACTTCTCCTACTAAAGGCAGGACTATCATTTCTACTGGGTAATCTGAGCCAAGCAAAGGTCAAGCTGTTTGTGGGGACAAAATGGCCATACCTAGTTAATTTCTCAGTTATTTCACAATCGGAGTGCTGTTCAGGCCCTGGGAATTGAACACGTGACCTGCTGCACTCTGGAGATAACCAAGCCATCCCTGAAGAAGAAGAACTTGTGGTCTCCCCTAGAACTGAAGAAATTATTGTACCTTTGCACAAATGGACTGACACAGCAAAACCAGAAACAGAAGCAAATATAAAAACCAAGAAAACTACTCTAATCACTTCCTTACTAATAATCAAAACTGAATCTAAAGATAGTAATCGGCTCCTGGAAAGTAAGTAATTATTACTTAGAGCACTAAACCATGAAAATATTAAAGAGCAGAAACCAAAAACGAAAATCTCAAATTTGGCTTAGACCCCAAACTGAAGATCCCAATGCCCCCCGCAACCGCCAAGGAACAGAGGAAAGGTACAAAATTTGACTCAGAAGGTGAACCTAAATCAAGCTTTAAATGCAAAGTGACACTATTTGAAAATTTCGCTTAAACCAAACTCTCAAGCCATAAAAAATAACAAAACGTGCAGACTGCAAAACTGAGGCTGTGAAGCCATATTACGGTTTCACACTGAATATAGCTATCGTTGAATGTGTTTAACGCTTTGAATTTTCATGTAACACCCTGACTGTAATCAAACAGCTGTAAGAAAATGCAAAGCTGGAAATTGATAGCATCAGACAGAGAACTGTTAAATTTAAAGACAAGACTACTTTTTTGTTATAAATCGGGGGAAACAAACACATTCACCAAACTGGCTTCTTGGAAACCATGGTAAAGTTTAAGAAGGGCTCTCAGACCACTTTAGACTGCGATTTCTCGCTTTCTTCTATCACGTACTTCAATGTCTTTTGATACGCTTTGTAGCACCCAGAACAATATCCCTTATTTTGAGGACTACCAAAGTATGGACAGTTGTCAGTAATACACCTCACCGGGATGCTAGAGCTCGCACTCTGTGCTGTACTATGACCAGATGTGCTAGAAGGTAAATTCAAGGCCGTGGTTTTACCCAGTTTCATAACTTCCGCATATGAAGGCAGCTCTTTTCCTGTCTCTTTACTTGAATGAGAAGTTCCAGAAGGAAGCGATACATGGGTCGGCTGCTGTGCTTTAACAGTATTCTTTTGCTCTACATTAGAGCCTTGTGTTCTGGAGTAGTCACCAAAATAGCCATAAGGAACATATGCAGAATATGACGGAGGTGGCAAATAACTTTGCACACCACCATTATCATAATTTGTCTGCGGTTCCCTTCCACTGGATGATCCTGCACCAACAAGATAGCGGCCAGTTTCACTGTAAGATTTCTGAGTCTTGTAACAGCCTGAACACAGGTAATTTGTTGCTGAAGTTCCATACAACTGACAACCTGGGTTAATACAGGGTTGAGGCTTCTCACCAGAACTACCTGCACCTTTCGTTGCCTTAGTTTGAGCCTTCTTTTCTTCTTCAAACCGCTCTTTGGCTGACTCAATATAGTTTTCAATCATCTTTTCATAGTACTCTGGTTTCTTGTCAGTTTGAAGCCTTGCCACATAAATATTACTGTGCACAACACCACCTACCATCCCAGCCATTGTCCCTACTTTCATAATCTGTGTAGCAATCCAGGATTTTTCCTTCTTCTCTGCAGATTTTGTGGGTGATTTGCTACCAGGCTTGTTTGCTGCATCACTGCTCACTTCGGATTTCTCACCCTTTGTAGCTGTCTTTTTATCTTCTGGATTGTCTTTCTTGCCTGTATTAGGTAGTTTCACATTCTCCACGTTTAGGTATTTCTTCAAAAGCTCCAACTTCTTATTCATACTAAGTTCCAACTCGTCTGGAATGGTGGCTTTCTCATCCAAACTACTCCACAAGAAATCTTCTCCAGGGTCAACAGCAAATTTAAGTGACAGTAAGTCATAACTTGGTCCAACAAGTGGCACAGCAGCTTTCAAAGAACTAGTTTTACCTCCATTTTTTTCATCAGAGGGAACCAAAGGAGAAAAGTGTGCAGATTCAAAAGCCAGCACCAAGGGGCTCTTAAGACAAGAGGGAGGGTCACATTCTAGAGGGAGATACACTCCTCCAAATGGAATGGGTGCAATTGGTTCACCTCCAAATCCATACAAAAACTGATCAGCTATGATGATAATTGGTCGTCGCAGAACATGAGCAAGCACAAACACATGAATGTCTTCGAGGCTTTCAAAAGCTCCTCGTCCCTCTTCATCAACCTCCTTATCTGACAGCTTCTCATGCTCAGTTGATTTGCCATTACCTTTATCACAATCTTTGGTATCATTCTGCTGGCAATCTGCAGGTGAATGAGTAGATTCCTCTTTTACAGGAACATCAGATGTTTCACTTTCAACATATTTTTCTAAAATGGAGGCAAGAGTTGAAATGTTCTCTCCTTCTTTATTTTTCTCTGTAGTTAGGTGCTCATGATCCCGCCGCTGAGTAGATGCAATACGCAACACCTCCAGCCATTCTTTCTCCCACTCTTCTTCAGAGTAAAGTAGCCCTCCAGCTTTGATGTTTTTCTGCCACTGCTCCAGTCTCCAGCGTCGCTTGATAGCTCCTTTGGCTAAGTGGCTCGTGAGAGTACAGTACAAAGCTTTGCGCAGAGTTAATAAACGATCGTGGAAACCCCACATACCAAGAGAAGCAGCATGCAACAAGCAGTTACCATCACCCACAGTTGCTAGGGGAACAAGACGTCGACACACACCTGCATCGGCCCACCAGTTTAAATGACCTAGAAACCAGAAAAAAAACTCTTAAGAATAATATTATACACAAGGTTGTGCTATAATAGCAATAATATTGTAGGGAGCCCACCAGGGTGCTAGTCACCCACCAAGCTCTGCTTGATCCCTGCTGAAGAGAAAAGGAAAGTAGTTACGAACAGTAAGCACAAATTTACAATGGCTGGTAACATACCGTAATATTCCGAAAATAAGCCCCGGGCTTATATTCAGTTTTCAAAAGCCCTTTTTGAGGGGCTTATTTTTGGAGGGGCTTATATTCGGAGGGGCCAATCTATGGAGGGAAGTTTGCATTTACAAATCGACTGGCTAGCCTTATAGTTCGAAGTAAATTTACCGTTTTTGCTTTGTTTTACTTTGTATTCGAGGGCAATTTTCCAAGTACAAGCCCAAAGGGGGCCTATATTTGGAGGGGCAATTTAATGGAGGGTTTTTTGCATCACTGGTTTGGGGGACATATTTGGAGGGGCTTATTTTTGGAATTTTACAGTATACAGGGATGTCGCTAAGAGCCACCTTCTAGATAATTTAACCAGCTGAAAAGAGCTTTAATATCACTGGCTCAAATTGCACTAAAAACCAAAGAAATTGAGAAAAAAGCAACTATGCGTAACGTTTCCATAGCTTCATCCCTTATGTACATGATTATATTTCTTTGTCTTACATACGACATAGTTATACAACAGTAATCTGCAACATATTTTTTGTACAAAAATGATGGACCTGCCAACCTCTTATCTTATACGCTGTTTGTCATATCATTATTTATTTATTTATTACAGATTCACTCCACTACATTACAAGCAAATAATGAAATGAAATAAGCTAACACTACTATAAGAATTTTAAAAAAAAAAAGGTTGTGGAGAAGGAGACAACCAAAAGTGCCAATGCGCCATACTAGGGATGCCCCCACGAATTAAAATATAACAAAAACATATACAAATAGAAATCTAAATGTTCTAGCTATCCTTAATAAAGCTTAAAACATTTCTTTTAAAAGTTGCAATACTGTTTGATTCTCTAATATGATTGGGTAAACCATTCCATTCATCTACAACGCGGTTAAAAAAACTATACTTAAAACCGTCAGTTCTACTAAAATTTGGAACAAGGTCCTGTGTGTCATTTTTCCTCAAGTTATAACCTGTATTTTTGTCCTTACAAAATATGAGTATATTTGAAATGTCAATATCATAATGCCCATTAATTACATTAAAAAAATGTAACATCTCTAGTGAACCTCCTATTAGATAATGACAACAATTTTAGCTTAGATAGTCTAGTATCATAATCATCATCAGACATAGTGATCCATCTGGTAGCTCTTCGCTGAACAGCCTCCAATTTATCAATGTTACGTTTAGTATGAGGGTTCCAAGTTTCGCATGAATATTCTAATAAAGGTCTCACAAGACTACAATAAAGTGTCTTCATGGTATCAATATCCTTTAAGTCCCTACAAGTCCTCTTAACCAACCCTAAAACCCTATTAACCTTAGCAGTTATTTTATCTACGTGTTGGTTCCATGAAAGATTACTAACAGTAAATAATCCTAAATCTTTATACACATTAACACTTTCCAAAGGTTGACCTTCAATATTATACTCCCCAACTAAGGGTGACTTTTTCCTGGTTATTCGCATGAGATTATAGATTTTTATTGACATTAGTTAGCTAAATTCAAATGACCCCACAAGCTCATGTAGCTTTTAACAATACCCATTGTTTTTAAATAAGGGCTATGTATTACATTAGCTCTTATTAGCAGTAATTAGATAATATGTGGATTGACACCAATCTGACAGTGCCTCGGGAGTTTCAAAAGTTTCTTTATCTCTCCACTTATGTGACTCAGTTTCCCTCATATAGAGGGTCATAACCAATAAATTTGGAGAACTGCATTAATTTTACTCATTAAACTAGGGTATCTAAAAGATAGTAATGCTGCGGCACACTCTGTTGATACTGGCATTAGTTAGGCAGTGGGACTTAAAAGCATCGAAAATGACATTGAATGTCCTATTTACATGTTGGAAAGAACTAGAATAATTACTATCAGTCTATAGAAAGAACTTGTTTAGAAAATGATCAAGTGGTTATCAACTCTGGTTTTCCTACAGTAAATTGTAGGAAATGATAGAAATTCAGATTATTTATCCATATCTTTAATATACAGTGTACCATCTTTTCTCTAGAAACACAATACTTTCCTTGCTGTTTATTGCACTTTATTAAGTAACAGTTATTTAGCTATATATTTATAGAAAACAACATCACAAAAAAAGGGAAAAAAAAAGAAAGAAGGAAAAAAAAGAGGTCGGTAGGAATCGAACCCGGCACCATCGGTTCGACGCGAATACACCTAACCACTACACCACAGAGACTGACTGCGGAAATGTGGGAAAAGTTTTTAATTTAATGCCTTTTGCATGAAACTTCCGCCGGCAAGATGATCGCCAGCCGCATTAATCGAGCTATTAACAGTAAAAACACAATGTAAATGCATATTCCATGGCAATGAATGAATGAAAGAACATAATTATGCTTTTCAAAACGCCGATACACGTCCTCGTCTGCGACGTAGGACACAAAACATATCTCGATTTCCGCTGTTATTTTCAAGCGAATGGTCAAAATCACATCCATTTTCGGCTCATACAGGTTCTTAAGAATAGCATGGCATGACATTTTCCCATTTTCACATCACCTTCTAGCAAGCTGGAAATTGTATCTCCCCCATGTTGCGGAGTCGAAGAGCAAATGCTCATCTTCTCGTCAGGTTTAACACCTGGACGAGTCAAAGGCTCTTGAATTGAAATCCAATCCCCAAGTTAATCATCGTGCTCATCTGAAAGACTCCTGTGTGCCTTAAATTTGGTAAGACCTCTAACCGTGCTGTAGAAAATTTGCTACAAAGAAAACTCCGAGTCTAGCCAGCGAACGATGCAAACTTCCCTGTGTTTTTATTTGAGTTGTTCGTGGCCCAATGCACTCTGGTTAAATGCAATGCATTGTGGTAAAAAGTGTGGTTAAATGCAATGCATTGTGGTAAAAAGTGATGAATTCGAGAATGCGTTGCCCCTTATATATTTCCCTTAAATTCTGATTATGTTGCTGCTCGATCCCTACGGTCGCCCCGCAGCAATTAGCTTACCCTAACAAACCCACAGTAGAGATTTGCACAAAGCAGAAAGCATTCATTACAAAACAAACAGGCCTTCCTGTTCTAAAGGCCCTGACAATTTTGCCAATCAAATACTACAAATGACTTTGCACTACCTATTTCTGTCTACTGGGAAGCTGATTTTACCCTGGAACAAGTGGTTGTTCTTTGTTTACAAGATACTGTACAAGTTTTTGTCCCAGAATGAAATTCTTGCTCCAGTTTCACAAATTACCAGGATGAACTCACGCAAGTACAACTCATTGAACTATGACATTTTCCCAACACCTAAACAAACGCAGAGAGCCCTAAAACCAGCCAGATGAACTCATGCCTGTACAAAAGGAGCACTAATATACCATAAAAATATTGTGAAGAAAATATTTTGCGGAAGTGAATTGCAAACCCAAGGAAGCTCTTTTTCACCTCCCTGATTTACCAAAATACCACCTCTGCCTGATCCCATCAGATCTGATCATGAGCAGTTTTCACTGGCAAATGTGGTGTTACCTATGTCACAGGAGTGACTGCAAGAGGCTCACAGAGAAGACAAAAAGGGACTTAAGGAAGGTCTCTATGCTCAAAAATGTGGTTATCAGTGTTTGGACACACAACAAAAGATTTTCCAAGGTCGGTAACATGACATGTACCAAAAATTGCCTTAAAAAAATCAGTTCACACAGAACGGTATACAGTGTAGTTCAAGAATTACAGTTCAAGAATTATGTTTAAAGCAAATCTTTTGTTCGTGTGTTATATTTTATTCCAAAATCACTTTTATTTCCAAATGAAAACTGTCTGATCATGAACAAATAAAATCTTAAATGACATTTTACAAGAAAATAATAGTCCCAATCATGCTTCACAAAAAGATACAGGAGACCCTCATTTAACATAGTGTTAGCCCCAGGGGCAGTAGAATTAACAAAATATCTCTGCAAACCAAGTCATGACTGGTGTTTTAACAGCACACATTCATTGTTACAGTGGGGAGAGCAGTGCTGATTTAACATGAGGGACTAAACAAAAACCCTTGTCACCCAAGAAGGAAGCAGGGGAGAAAGAAGTGTGTGTATTTTTATAATTCATTGATATCCCTTTTTATTGGTCAAATTGAATATTATAAGGTATTCTCCTATCAATGCTCTTCAATATTTCAAGTTGCTGCATAAACAATAAAATTTATCACACCTCAAAGATGTAGCTTGAGTTTCCCACCTATGAAACACTTCGCTACCACTACATCAGAGGCTACGGGAAATTTTTTCTGAGGAGAAGTGGTGAATGATATCTGGATTCAATGTATAAATGAAGACAACAATTCTGTAAACCTAACATCTGAAGATGACCACGTTGATGCTTTCGTTTGTAGGTGTCTGGCAGTTCATTTTTCCTGCATTTGAGCAGACATTCTTTGTATCAGGTGATCAGTTTTGAATTATTAATGGCCTGCCAGGCATGGTGAAATTTAAGCCGCTTGAAACCTGGACATCAGGCCCCCAGTAATTCAAAAGTTGGATAGTGCTATCCATGGGATAAATCGCTATCCAGTGGATAAGTGTTAAGGAAACCAATAGCGTTATCTATCTTTTGAACAACTGGGGCCTGATAAATCACTATCCAGCAGATAATTATAAGTAAAATTTGCACCTTCCACTGGATGGATTATTGGATTTAATATGCACACCCCCCTTCCTGGTTGTGGGGGTAAGTTATAAAAATTGAGCATTTTTTAAGGGGTAGAGTTAAAAAAATATGGAATTCTTCCGGGAATGAAGCTTTATTAATTTTCACAACATTCTTCAGGGGTAGACCCATATTCTTCAGGGGGAAGACCAATATTTTAGGGAAGTCTTCAGGGGTGAAAGTGATATTACTAATCTTTAGGGGTAGGAAGAAAACCGAAGTCCTCAAAACTGGGAAGGGGGGGGAGGGGGGGGGGAAGGGGGTGCAGATATTACATGCAATAGCCTGATAGAGAACTATCCAGTGGATAGCATTATCCACCTTTCGGAAAACTGGGCCCTATGGCCACTTTATATTTTGAGTAGCCTTTATAGAGTTAGAAAGATAGCTGTTGTAGAAACGACATATGTTATTTAAGAAAATAACCAAACAAACAACTAAAATGCTCTTGCTAAAACAAAAAAAGTGGTAGCTTTGGTGGGGTGATCGTTAGTTGAGGTTCGACTCTAGCTAGTCATTGACAATTAAGAAATGCAGTTAAGGTGACTGAACTTCAATAAAAAAATGAAAAAATTGAAAACAAGAACAGTGCAGCATTATTACGGGCTTATAAATATTTTAAGCTTGGACAAAGATATACAAAAGCTTATTCGTCCTGAAATAGACAAAGCATAAATTCTTTCATTATCTTACCTGCTTGTTCTAGAGCGACAAGAACAGAGGTCTCAATTAAATCTCTTCTCAGGAAATCGCTCAAGTCCTCAGAGTAGTTAGACAAATCAGGCAGCACAAACGTGAAGTCGGACATTCCTTCGAACCCTTCATATCTCTCATCGGTTCCTGGTATTTTGTCTTCAATAACTTTATGTCTTGCTTCACCAACAATGTCTGCATTGACCATCGAAAGACCCCTTCCAGCTTTTCCACTAGGAAAAGGTTTGACGCGCTTCGGTACTTCATTGTGGCTGCTAGCAGACGATCCTAAAGACAGAGTTTCAAATGCACTCAACGCTTCCTCCACATTCCAGTTTGTACTCTCAAGAAGGTCTCTCGCCAAACTAGGATCTGTCCCAGTTTTTTCAATGAAATTACTTAAAGTATCGTCCATTGAGAAGGATAATTAAAGTAGAGTGAGTCACTGATAAATCATTCAAACTGTGAACAAAACCTCAGCCAGGGACTCATAACTTATCCATCGCTACATACTGCGCGACCGCACGCATTCTGGGGCCTGGGGCAAAAGACAAAATCTTAAAACTGGCTGGGAAGGCTGGGAGAGGGGTGGGGGCGGTCAGGGAGAGGCAGGGTAGGGTGGAATGCGTTTCTTCAAGAGCCATAATTATGGCTCTTAGTTTCTTGGGAAACGAAACTAAATTAGGGTCTCATGCAGCAAAACTGATCGGTGACGATTCAATCTCTGACGTCGAGAATACTGTACTGGCATTGAAAATTAACCAAGGAACCAAATATGTAACACTTTATGAAGCCCATTTTCATATTTGACACGACTACTGGAGAGCAGTATTTGAAATACAGTAATCGCCTTCCTCGAATAATCGCCTCCTTTTGGTGCGAAAAAATAATAATCGCCCCCGGCCAATATTCGAAAAAATACGGTAAACAACGACTTTCGAGCTTTGACAGTCAATATTAGAGTGAGCGAAAAGCACTGGCTAGCTTGGCAGGGGCGTAGAGTGAGATTTTGTTGATGGTGTACGCACGGGAAGAAAAGTAAGAGCGCCGAGGTTGGGGGCAGGGGACCTGAGGGCATGCTCCCCCAGAAAATGTTTAAATTTAGGGTCGGACGCCATGCATCAAGGAGGTTACAAGCAAAGGGCGAGATGTCTACCCTGCAGACGGGCAATCTATGTTACAACGCCATCAATGGTAGTTTTTATACTTAAGGCTGTTTCTGTAAGATAGTTTTACCGGTCACCAAAATGCCTGTGTGAAGCACGTAAGGCGCAAGCTTCTTGAGGGGAGGGACGGCGGCGGGGGGTCCGGTGGCATGCTGCCGCGGGCATTTTTAGATTTTAACTCCCCAAAGTCCCCTTTCCAATTCATTTAGGATATGGGCCAGTTCCATTCTAATCGGAAAAAGCCTTGCAACTTGGAAAGCTTTTTCTTTATTAAAAATGTATCTATTATGTAAAATCTGACCGTTTTCCGTATAACGGTGGAAACCGGTGTGGATCCCCGCCTGATCTCAAATAATTTTACTTTTCATCTCATTCCTTTCAAGCCGGAAAGTTAAAGCGATTCAAGGAAGTACAAATTAAAACCTTCTCTCTCTTTAACTCTTCGGCAAAAGAGCCACCGCGACCGTTTTGTTTACATTTCTCGCCGACTGATGAAAGTGCCAACTCGTCTTCAATCGAGTTAAACTTACTTTGAAGTAAGAACGGCGCTTGTGTGTGAAGCGTCAAGCTTTCGTAAGTAAGTAAGTAAAAAAAAATACTTGACAAGAAATTAAATTCCTAAGTTAATTTGGGATCTAGTTACTCTCTACGGTGACTGGGTAAAGACTACCATTAATACACAGTAAAAAAAGCATTTTTACAAATGAGTTAATGTAACTCAATTTTGAGTAAAGTGTCTCATTTTACTCATTTTATTGAGTAAAATTACTCACAATATGAGTTAGCTTTTTTTACCCCTCAGAGAGAGTTATAACAACTCACTATTCTGAGTAAAATGACTATGGTCAAAACATGCGAGTAAACCCTTTACTCGCTGAGTAAGGTAAATCCTTTTACCCTTTATAGTGAGTAAAATTAACACCTTATTTCGAGTCACTTGGCTGTGAAGCAGACAACTGAGTAAAATACTCACACCAAGTTTACCGATTCGTTTCAGCGTTGCAAATTAAGAAAGGCACAAAACCACAAATATTGAACAACTAAAAAGCTACAATGATCGGGTACTGACCGATCTATATCTCAAGCGGTTTAGCTGTCAAAATCCTTATGCTACGATCAAGCGGCAACTATCAATATTGATTCAACACCAAAGCTACAATCCAATTATTATCTTCTGTGTCGTCGTCTTCATCAACTTCTGCTCGTTCAGCAACATTATTGACACCGTGTCTGGATCTTTTTAAAGTCACATTTCGTAAAACTAAAGCGCCTGTTGTGCAGCACCGTGACCTAATCACGCTGATCTCATACATACATGGATCATTTGTTTTGCTCAACCAATCATTTGTCTCGATCACATAAATAAGTTATTGATGTGATCACGTGTAACGCTTGAACCAATCACTCACTGGTCTTGGATCAAATCATCGTTGGATAAACGCGCGCGCAAAAATAACCAGTTGAAGCTAATCGTAAAGCGTCGTTTATACCTTCTTCTCGATTTTTTCTTGCCTCGATATTGATTTCTTCAATTGGAATCGCCTCTTAAGTATTAGCCGTGGCGGTAGAGACTCGTGTTTACGACGTACAGACATGGCTCGGCGATAGTACTGGTGTTGAAGATTCTTCGAAATTACAAGGTAAGCACTCGCAGACAATTATAGCCTGAGCTTAAATAATTATAAGTCATTGTCTATATTGTCCTTTGCAGTAGGCTTATCTCCTTGAAGAAGGAGCTACTAATAGTTTAAGGGCTAAGCAGAATCAGTGTAAAAGGGATATAGCTTTTTTTGCTTTATCCTAAAAGTACTAGTATCCACGGACGTAAAGAACGGACAAAGCACAAAGCATCGCCATTTGCATTATAAAGCGCGTTTTGGCGGGCAATTTGTACTTGTTCGGTTTTAGTTTATTGGTTTCAAAACTCCTGTATTTTATGTGCAGTTTTTATCGTAATATATTTTTGGAAACAATATATTTTCAATGACAACCTAGCTTTACATACATCTTTATTTTATACTTAGCTCGTTATAGTATAAAATCAGGGACGGGCACGGGGTGATCTATGTGTGTTTGGGAGGAGGGGAGGGAAGGGCCCGGTTGCTAGGTTTGGGCCCAGATTTTTTTTCCAAACGTACCACTGTGGCAGATTTTTTCCTTATTTTTCAATATAAGACTCTCAACTCTGCGCAAAAATAAATTATTTGGTTGTTCCACGTCTGTTTGAAAGATTTCTTTATTAACCACCCCCCCCCCTCATTGGCCTCTTAACAGCCCACGTGCGATATATTAAAAATCTATCATGACTACAGGAATATTGACTATTTCATTACAGACTGTAAATTGACTGAGTTTAAGCAACAATAATTTTATCATGTCAGCACTCAAGAGGAAAGGACAGAGAGAAGAAAAGCATGTTGTGAGAGTTGTTATGACTCTCTCTGAGGGGTAAAATAGTTTATCTCTTGTTTCTTTATCCAGTTTCTTTGTTGGTTATGAAACCATGAAAGTACCTCTCTCATAACTGTCCATATTTTCAAAATTCGTCATTCCTTAAACTGCCCAGTTTAACAGTGACATCTCAGTAGAGAAGTTGAGAAATAAAAAGCATTTCCATGTATGTGTCACATATGAAACTCTGTCACAGCATCTAAAAATTAATGGCATATACTATCTTAATTGTGAGTGCAAGATTTATTCAGGGAAATACTGGTGAACATCAAATTAAAAATTGTGTTTTCATTCAAGGGATGATTTTGATCAAAATATGCATGTATAAAAATAATCATGTCTAAGCCAAGGTTCTGGTCTTATTTTGCTGTAAACAGCTGCTGAGTAGGGTGGTGTTTGCCGCCTTTTACCAGTAGCTCACTCAAGTAGTACTTCTGAACTGCTTGTAAGTGAGAACTATAAGCCCAGGACTTTTGGTATGTATAAATACGTGTTGATGCAGAGTAATATTCTGTTGCTGTGTAATGCTTCAATTTAGTTGCATTTAACCAGCACTTCTTTTGAGTAGTTTTTGTCTGAATTGCTCATCAAAGAGGAGATACACTTATTTATACCTGACAAATTTCTGAAGAGAAAATTTAGACCATCAACCTTCAACAAGGATTAAAAGATAAATTATTTTAAGTTAAGTGGAAATGACAGCAGTTGCAAAAGAAAAATATTTTGAAATGTGGAGAGGGCTTGGGAAAGAAAAAGGTACCTAGAAATTACAAGCTGATTTTCTTGATGCCATTAGTCAGGTTTCAATCACCAAAAAGACATATTTTTTATACTGGAGAAGGAACTTTGGAACCATCCACTTATAAAAGAAAATTTAATGTTGCATTGTATGTAGGAACCTCTTCACTAAATATCTCCTATTTTGGTGCATCTGCGCCAGGAAAAAAAGTATTATTTTTTCGTTGGAGGAGTATTATGCCATAGTTAGCACAGTGTAGTTGTTAGTAAGCAAAATGTTGTCTTATAGTTTTGCCTGAATTTATGGTATCACCAGGATAAAAGCGAAGTGGAAACCTTTTAAGATACGAAGATAATTATTATACCACAAAAGGTTATTTCCCACAGTGAATGTACTATGCATACAGGTGCTCAATGAGCTACAGGCCCCATTACAGTAGTCTGCTTATTGATAGGAGTTTGCTACACACATGTACCAATATGTAATAACAGGCAAAATGATAGCTTACTAGTAATTATTAGTACTCTGTAGTGTGCATTCTGTGATCATTTCTCATGTGGGTTGTTGAAAAAGAAAAGACAAATTAAGTCATTTCCAAAACTTGAAGGCCAAGTGTTAAATTACATAATAAAGTATTTACCATGGTAAATAAAAACACTTACCCTTACTGCCAATATTAGTTTTTCAGGATGAAACTCAGACTGGTGTGTTGCAATGGTCATTAATTTCTGTGAGTATGATCATCTTTAACTATTACAGTGTAACCTCTCCTTTGCGATACCTCTATTGAAGGGACACCTCTATTCGGGGGAAAGGGAAACTTTACCTGGATCCCGAAACCCGCATTTGACCTCCATTCAGGGGATTCAGGGGGGCATTCAAAAGGTGACTGTCCACAAAAGCGTTAATAAATTAAAGTGCTCACTAGTCACAATTGCAACAGCTTTCAAAACTTTAACTACCTTACTTAAATCAATGCACTGTACTTGTGAGAATCCAACACACAACATTGCAGAGGTAAGTTAATAATAATTTTTTAGACATAAGTTGCTTGAAATAATAACTGCAGCAGATTCCAAGGCAGGATAAAAGAAAACATTTTTATTAGTTGGTTAATTATTACACTTGCCTTGGTCCCAAGGGTTTCCGCTGAATAGAGGTTCCAT